CGAGCCAGTTCGACCATTTCTTCGGTTTGCAGTGCTACTACCGAAGGAAGACAAGTCGTCATATCATGGGAGATAAATGTCACTGAGTTCGTTAGTACCATAGCGGAGTGAATCTGTCTTAAGGATATAGAATCAAATTCAAATCTCGATTTATAATCAGGTTCTTTTAATTTTATAGTTTTATTTTATTTCATATATATAAATATATTTTATAAGAAATTATATATATATATTATTGTTTTATAATAATAATTATATATATACACATTATATTTTTACTTAATATTTAAATAGGAATACTATAGTATATGGTTCAATTAGACCAAATTTTGGACAACATATATATATATATAGTGTTGTTCAACTATTCCCTGATTAGTAGGGAGTAATATACTCACTTTTAATTATAATATTAGGATCTAATCCTAAAATAAGTTTTTAAGAAATTAAAATTCCTTTAATTAGATATTATTTGTGAAATGACTATAAGGCTAGCTTCTTGAAAGGAAAAAAATTATCAATTTCTTTAATTTCATTAACTTTAGACTGCCACAACGCCTTCCACCATGGTGATTGCCACCTCAATCCATCGCTACCACATACACCATATCACTACCATTGCCACCACCACACTGTAACAACATTGCCACCTCCACGTATCCCTGCACCGTCGCCGCCACCACCACCTACACCGCCATTGCCACCACCAGATGGCAGTGGTGGTTGCGGCAACGGTGCAGCGGTACGTGGAGGTGGTCCATTCCCTTCACGATTAATCAAATCAAATCATATATATTAATTTTATTCATTTTAAGAAATATACATCACCATCTAGTTCTATAATTCAATTAATATATATGGATTGGTTACAATATATATGAAAGTTGTGGTGGTTATGGTAATTTGAATGAGGTAAGCCAAATCTCCCATGATCATTCCAACTAACTATTAATTTGATTGAGGTATTGCTGCAAATTGGTACAAAGATGGTGGAGTGTGAGGTGGTGTTGTACTGGGTATGGCAATGGTGGTGGTGGAGTGGTGTTTGACCGAGAAGTAATTGTCGTGGAATCGACAGGAAGAAGTACCAATTTCTTTGATTTTTGTTTCATTTAATAAGATGTCTAAATTTGTAATTTCATCTTAATGACATTTAATAGTAATTGCATAAATAAGTAAGTTTCCTAAAATAAAAAAAGGAAGGTTGATTAATTAAATCCTGCAATTACAATTTAAAAGTGAGTATATTACTCTCACTCACCATGGAGCAGTTACATTGGAACCCTGAAGCACCACCACAAATGCTATCGCGCGTTCGCCTGTGTACAGTACGATAAGGCACCACCCTGTTGTGCCAGCAACTAACTCTGATATAACCTGTTGTGCCAGCAACTAACTCTGATATAACATGCACCACCTTGTTATATCAGTAGCGTTCGCCTGAGTTGGCTGCTGGCACATTTTATGATTTTAACCCCAATAAAATCTCTTTCTAATTTCAAAATCTTACGTAAAACCCCATAATCAAATAGGTTCCTCAATTAACAAAACCCATCATTTTACTCTCATAACTTTAATAGGGTGTAAAATGACATAGTTGACCTTACTATTAAATGTTAAATTAAAACTTAAATTTTTTTTTTAATAGACGACTTTACCCTTTCATTAACTAATCCCAATGAACAACACAATGTTTTGTCACCAAACAATTTCCTTCTTCCTTTGATCTCACGCACAACTTATATACATATAATATATCCATATATGTATATATAGAGAGAGAGAGAGATATAGTAATGCTCTCAAGAGAGCCCCCTCACCATTAGCTCTCTATTTTAACCAATAAATTGAAGGACGTATTAAATGATTCATTTGAACTTTCACAAATCTTAAAAAAACTATATGAATACGGTAGTTAAATATGAAAAGTTCTTGTCTTTTCTTACAATGGAACTCTCTTAATTAAGAGCATTATATATCCTAAATTTTATGCAACTAAAGTGGGCATGAAATATTTGCCGTACATGCCATTTGTAAAAAAAAATAATAAAAAAAAATAAAAAAAAAAAATAAAATTCAAAGAGGAAAAAGAAGAAGAAAGGAAAACAACCTAAAAAGTACTGAAGCTTTTATGAAGAAGTCGTACGGTGACGTATTCACACTATTCGGACACGTCTCTGACACTTTATGTACATGTGCATAAACAAAAATTTAATTTTATTGTTTCGAATACTTTGCTGACACTTCTGGACGCTTCATCAATATTTTTCGATATTTTTAACCAAAATTTACTTGGTAATTGAAAATAATATGAACATGTTCTAAAGTATTAACTTTTTCTTTAAGAAAAATTAATATTAAAGCATAAAATAATATTTATTTATTTATTTAAAATAGCGAAACTAATTTTGGCATTATACATAGGCTAATCTATTTCCTTCTTGGTGCTAAAAAAAAAAAAAAAATAGGGGACAAATTAGGGATGAAGTGGCAAGAAGGGAAGGCCCGTGAGATGTAACGTCTGATGAGTGGTAGAGACATTAGTGTCTACGTTCGGTTTTTGGTTTGCTCTCACGGGAATCCAGCCACCCTCTCACGAGCTTCTCTCTCTCTCTCTCTCACACACACACACACACACATATATATATATAATATGTGAAATATATACTAGTATGGTAACAAACACATATGATGGACTAGATGTTAACTGAAATGTTACGGCTCTACACGTTTATCGTCCTATGCATATCAGCATCCTTGCGTTCAGGTTGTTTCAGAGATAACGTCCTTTGGGCGGTTGTGCCATGTCAGGCAGAACAAGAGACTTCCAACCAAGCTTCATTTGCTTCTGAATCTCTGATCATCAAGACAAATTTTTTAAAGTGACACCCATATCCCTAGTAATCATATATATTCAAATGAGAATATATATACTATGATATATAAAGTATATCATTATATTGCCAAAACCTAGGTCAAAAGTTACTGTTGTATTTTTCTTGTAGTCTTAATTAACCCTCTTAGCATTCATATTGATTAGTCTTTATTTAAGAAAAAAATGACGGTAAGACACTAAGCATGAAGTAAGGGGAGTTTAACCACAAATCAGCACAGATACAGACAACAAAAATGATAAGTAATTCGAGAGTTGAACACATGATGATATCATTCTTCACTTTTATAAATATGTTTGCGGCTTTCGAACTCTATCTCCATCACAACTCTATATAGAATGCTTGCAATTCATAATTTTTGAACTAATGCCAGTTTATGATTAATGCAAAAGCTAGCACTAAAATAGGTTATAGATCAATCTATGCAACTAGGTTTAAGAAATTCAAAAATTTTGCTTTTCATGATTGGACTTCGATCATACCAAGTCGGCAAGTCCTTTAGTTTAAAACTCTAAGAAAAATGCAAGAAATTAATTATTAGAATTAAGCAACCGAAAAAGGTGATAAACATAGGAAAGGAAAGTAAATGGAAGTAATTGTCCACTCTCAAAAGAGAAAGGAAAGGGAAAAGAGTCAATAACAAAATATAACTGAATATAAACAAGGGACAATCAAGATTGTTAAATTCCAGTTAGTAAAAGTGTAAAGGGAAAGGGCATCTTTTCATTCATATACAAGGGTCTAATGTACATTTCCTTCCTCTTCTCTCACTTGATACTTTGAAGATTCTGAATAGAGTTATGTCTAGTCAAAGGACTACTAGCTTAATAAGGATATAACGCTAATTTTTTAATGAAACTTTGAATACCCTGAAGTATTTTTTTTGAACTTTATAGGCCTTCTGTCTTGGTAAAGTCATTTTATGTGCAGTAATTTAAATTAATGAAAATGATAATTAGGTCGGTAACTTTATCTCCCATTCATAAACATAATCAAATGTGTTTGACTTCTGAACACAGAACACTCTTATAAAGTTATAAGGCATTGAAGGATTTTAACATTCTCCTTAATTCATGAAAAGTAATTACCATTCAATCTCATTTTAATATAATGATTGCATATATATAATAGTAAGTTAAAATTAAGGGTAAAACTTGTGCACTAAATAAATTAGATTAGATTAATGGCAAAGTTGGTATTAGAGTGGTGGTGGGGACTATTTCACACGTGTGAGGGTGTTTTTGGACCATATATGTAAAGTGAGGTGGGGTTAAACTTGGTTAAAAGGGACATTACATGGGAAGGAAGAGACAAAAGTACTGCTGTGGGAAGCAGCTACACTGTTGCTGTTGCCTCACCACTACTGTCTACTGGACTGAGCAATCCTCCACCCCAACCCTACCTACTAGTACTCCCCTACTATGTGCCTGCTGCCACTGCCATTCTCATCAGATTTTAGTTATAACCTATATCTCTCTATCCAATAATCCACATAAATCCAAGTTTGTTTCCCTCCATAACTACTATATATGACACCATTAATTAAAGCATCGTGCATGTTTCATATATCTATCCATCTCACTACAACTTGATGCATATTATTTTTATTATTACTATTTTATTATTATTATTATTTTTTTAAACTTTTTTTTTTTTTTTTTTTTAGTTTTAGAAATCAAAAACTTAACTAGATGAAAATGAGATGCATATTTTTTTTTTTTTTTTTTTGAAAATTAAAATGATAAATTTGATTAAAGCAAAAGATACAGGTTAGCAATAGCTAACCATTACATGCAAAGTACAATTGGAATACTAGAGTTGATTATGATGTGATCCTCCCATACATGCATGAGTCCTCATTATTCATTATCATTTAATCAAAAGCACATATATAACAACCATTTATATAGATATATGAAGGGAAGTACTTTTATATATATATATTTGTTTTATTGTAAGTGTGGATTTCTATATGATTAAATTCTTCTTCTTTAACTTTTGACTACATGTGGATCTCTCTGTTCTGCCAGATCACTATCAGATCATCTATTTTCCCTTGTCTCTCTGCTCTCTCTCTCCATATGGATATATATACAAGACCTTTTTCTAGTGAGATCTGCCCCCCTCCCTCTTCTCTCTCTCTAGCTATCCCTTGTTGCTTTATTTATTCTATCAGATCTATAATCTATAAACGCAGCTTATTTTCCTACATGCCAAGTTCCTTCTTGATAAAGATCACAAGAACCCATCAACATCCCTCCAATATCTTTCAAACCCATGCATGAAACCATTGAATTGAGCATCTTTGCCTCTGCAAAAGGAAACTGAACTACCCCAGACAATACCAACAACTTATTTTCTCTATCCCCCACCTCTCTCTCTCTCTATATATACATATATATATATATATATATTTTTCTTTAGGGTTTTGTTTGGATCATAGTTGTCCAGATAGAGAGTCTAGTCTATATATGATGTCCCCAGATAATTTTCCGGCAAAGCCGGCCTCAAAGGATGAAAGCCAAAGCTCCGGTGGTAGCCGAAAATCAACGTTGATGAGGCCACCAGAACAAGTCCTCAAGTGCCCTAGATGTGATTCACCAAACACAAAATTCTGCTACTACAACAATTACAGCCTCTCTCAGCCAAGGCATTTCTGCAAGACATGTAGAAGGTACTGGACAAAAGGAGGAGCTCTGCGCAACGTTCCCATAGGCGGTGGCTGCCGGAAAAACAAGAAGACCAAATCATCCTCCAAGCTCTCCGGCGACCCCACCGACTCCGGTGCATCTTCAGATTTCGGTACTGGATTGAAGTTCTTCCCAGCTGGTCTCTCTCCTCATGCCATGGACTTCCAGCTAGGTGGTCTCTCTTTCCCTAGACTCCATCACTCTTCCATAACTGGTACTGGTTTTAATTATAACCAGTTTTCTTCATTTGGGGACATTTCTTCAACTACTACTCATGCACTCCCACTCAGTCCTTGTTTTGGTAACATCGATTCCTCAGCAACTTCTGGTCCTCTCATGGGCTTCAATTTTCCTCTATCTTCTGTACTGAAACAACAACCAGATCAGCAAGAACATATGGGTGGTGGCTCCATGAATGTTCATAGTAGTCTTGCATCTTCTATAGAGTCCTTGAGTTCAATCAACCAAGACCTGCACTTGAAGCTTCAGCAACAACGATTGGCCATGCTTTTTGGTGGAGAGAATCAGAAAGAGAGCAGTGTTTCTTCTGTTCCTCTCGAAAATCAGTCTCAAAAGCCACAATCCATTTCGTTTCACAACCTAGAGATTTCATCAAAGCCTGATCAGGTTTGTGGGGTTGGTAATTCAGGAAAAGAAAGTACTGCACCAACTGTTAATCATATAGCAGCAACTGAGTGGTTCTTTGACAACTCTTATGCACCACTGAACCCCAATCCAAACAACGCCAACGTCAATGGCGGAAATGAAAGCTCAAGCAACTGGAATGGGATTCAAGTATGGAATGACTTGAATCAATACAATGCATTGCCATAGTTTAAGGAGGATCGAGATCGAGGTAGATAGACCTAAGGTCTTTTGCTAGCAAAGAAACACGAAGTATATGAAAATATATGATAGAATCATCCATACCCATATTAGATGTAACTTTTGTTCTTAGATGTTGTTGTATGCAGGTATACAACATGAAGTTGGGGAAAAAAATTTATGTTAATTTTCTTTTCTGCTGTTGGATTTTGAATTAGTAATATTATGCAGATCAAAACAGTACTAGTTATTAATGTTGTTATTGTTGATGATGCTGATGGATCAACATGACTATTAATTGTTGTTTATGCAAGAATCCCAAATATGTAACGGTAGTTTGGAATATGAGACTATAGTACTAGAATATATATGTATGATCTGTTGATTATTAATTGTAGATAGTATATGCTAGTTTGGAATATGAATATTAGAATATCTTGTAAAGTATCTCTTCTATAGGGCTTCAATCTTTTTGGGATATGTGATGGATTTTATAGTGTTATATATAATGAATGGTGTACTAAGTAGAATATCTCTGATTTGTTTTATATTGAGTCGGTATTCAGAAGTCTCACTGTCTTAGTGTCTCTCTCTATCAGGAACTGATCCGCACACTGCTCAGTCACTGAACAATATGAAACACACCAGTAGTCCTGTAGCTGATGGGTAAGGTCTCACTTGCCTAGCCTTGCATACCTAGCCTGTTGATCCTACTCTCTCTCCCTATATATATATATGTGTGTGTGTCTTTCTCTCTCATTGCTTAGGGTTTTTGTAATAATTAGTTGCTGTGTGGTGTGATTTGGTGGTGTCTGAAAAAGTGGTGGTTTGAAAGTGTATTGAATGACAGACTGTCAAACATTTGAATGACTGAGGAGGGAAGAGACATAGATGGCATCTAATGCTAATGCTTAGGGGTTCGTTGTTCTGTGTAATATTGCTGCAACAGAAAAAAATTTCTTTTGCTAGTAGTAGCTTTTTCGGGTGTTGGGTTGCGAGCCCATCCTTGCTAATTGCTACATTCTTCACTTTATTAGAGAGAGCACAGTTTAAGTTTCTGAAAATGCTTTAATTTGTCCATGTACTGTTCATTCTTTTATTTAATCACAGAAGAAAAATGTTTTCCCATAATGATCAAATTTGGATTGTAGTGTTTAATTATCTTTCTTTTTTCTTCTAAAAGTACATGTTCACTTCTCTCTATACTTCTATTTCATAGTCTGATTAAGTATATATGTTTAGATCAAAACTTTAAAGTAATTTTAACTTTAATCTATTTTACAAGTTTATAGTAAAAATATTTATTTGATAATTATATGTAAAACTTGCGACCTTATGAGTGGTTATTAAAAAATATCTAAATAAACAAGAAGCAGGTGTATGATTTACTTGCGAATGTTAAAAAGCAAATAATGAGTTTATGGAATTGAGTGGTATCACTTACCCAAAAGAGAAAAAAACTTTTGGTATATCTTTTTCTCCTCATGATTTTTCACACTTAAAATTTTCTCCCCTTCCATTCTTCCTTTAATTTTTTTTTTTTTTTTTTTTTTTTAAATTGAGAGTAAAATCTAGCTTTCATTTTTAAATTTATCATAAGTGGAATACTTTCCAATATTAATCGAAAGGTTTCTGTTTTTTTTTTTGGGAAGGTTATAAATCGAAAGTTTTGATGCAACAAATATTCTATATTTATATACATGTATATATATAAGTGAAAAAAAAAAAAAAAAAAAAAAAAAAGAAAAAAAGAAGAAGAAGAAGAAGAAGAGTGGCTCTAAAATATCGTATCTATACTTTATGTATGCCTTATTGTGTGATAGAGAGAGAGAAAAGAGATATAGAACCCGTTATTTCTCTATAAATCTCCTACATGCATCTCTCTTGATCAGTGTTAAGTAGTTTATACTAGTATTTCGTGCTTGTACCCACAGTAGTAGCTCACACAGCTTGGGCACTTCAGCCAGACTGCTTTATGGAGATACCAAGTCTCTCAGCCTGTAACAAGCCCAACCAATATAGCAAGCTCTCTGTCTTCACCATCCCCTTTTTGCCTGCATCTGTCCACAAAGCTAGCTCTTTGCTACATCCACCAATAAATTAACATGTCAATACTCTCTCTCTCACACAGACACACAGCGCTACTCTATATATTGCATAGGAGTTAATGATAAATTCACCTATTATAGGTTTGCTTGGAGTTAAATGGTTATATATTGTACACTTTCACTCGCCTTTTTAGGCTAGGACCTTATCTTAATTTTACTACAAAGTTTTTAGACGGAAAATAGGAACTAAAGCGTTTTCCTCAACTCTCACTGTTATCCTAAAACTCATGGATAAGCTGTAAATTTAAACATCCTAAGTTTGTCCGACTCTTGAATTATTTATCATTTTTCTTAAAAATATTATCATCTCGATACTATAGTGTTTTAATTAATTAGCATGCCCGAGGCATGATTAATATATTAAACAATAATAACAATCAAAGAAAAGAGCAAAAGACTGATATAATGGCAACATCCCATCTTGCTTAGAAAAGAAAAACGTGGACAAACTGTTTTTGTACGTTAAGCATTAAAACCCTATCTTGATAGCTAGAAAGAGCATTATGTGAGAAAGAAAATGGTTGCGAGCATCACAAGGACTCCTTGATCAACTAGATTTAGAGCCCTTGAATCCGTTTTTCATTTTGAGTTGTGATACTTGCGTAGTCCGATAATTAGACACATCCTATTATATTTACGTAAGTTGGGAATGATGTCATTGGATTTTCCCAATTTTTTTCATATTTATCTCAACATTAAAGCAAACATATACGCCTTTTTGTCTAGGCCCGGACTCGAACCTCAAGTTATACGGCTAGTCCAAAAGCCCTTTGATTATTTGATCTTTCATTGTTAAAGTGTATAGGTAGAATCCCAAAACATTATACAAGGGGTTAGATCTATTTTCTTGTTTTTCATACTCTTTATTTCAGTTCATTCCTTATTTTTAATCAAACATTTCTTTTTCCCCAAGTCCTCTATAGTTTTGTCTCTATGACCTTGTTAAAAGTTTTACAATCATTAATCTTATGTGTTTTGTCCACTAATTAAGAATGGTAACTTTTTTCTTTTTTGCTAGGTTGGTCCTCCGTAACATCTCATCTTTTATTGTCGGTCAGTAAATTCTTCTTACTACAATAATTACACAATTGAACACACTCATTAGTCATTTCACAACTGTTTTGTTGAATGATATATAGATATATAGAGAGAGGAATATGTGTGGCTCATATTAAGAACTGAAGGGCATGAGGTCGCGTGATTAACGTGATAGAATCGCTGGAAGACAACTTTTGTTACACTGAATGTATGTGTGTGTATATATATTGTCAACTGCCAATTACATCCGGCAAGAAGTTCATGAGCCATAGATATATATACAAGTATCTGTATCGTATTACAACTCATCTTCACCAATATTCTCTATACCTACAGTACCTCATCAACCATCCAACCAATATGCTGTAAAATTTTAAATAACCAAAAAAAGACTAAATTAAATGTTTTTTAATCAATATGAATTTTTCTGATTTACCCCAAAAAAAAAAAAAAAAGAAAAAAAAAAGATTTATTTTTCTGTGGTAGTCTTCTTGAATCCAATGGATCTATTTGAAATAATAATAATCATCTTTCTCGTTTAAAGTAGATAAAATTGATCACTAAAGAATTCTCTATATTTAAATGAATGCTACTCAATTTAATGAATTTCAAGAACTAAATGAATATGTAACTGGGACTTCTCGATTTTAGGAAAATGCAAATAATTTTTTTTTTTTCTATAACTAGGGTGTCTGGAGCTTTGCCCTGACTAATTCAAGGGACCCATATAAGGCGACACCCCTATATGAATCGGATAAAACTCGGATTATGTCCGTAGTCGTGACCCCAAAAAATTAATGAGCCTCTAGGGCCCAAGCCTTCCTCTAGGCCAACCCCTTGGTGTTTCAAACAGAATTTTATTTATCTTGGAAAAAGTGCATGTGCCTTACATCAGTTCTAAATTCAAATTCATAATTAAAAAGTTCCATTTACATCGAATCAATATTGAAGCAGTAATTATTCGATACAATGTTGATTTGAAAGAGAAAGATTGGAGATGCACATAACATTTGATATATATATATATATATATATATATATATATATATATATATAATTTTATACAAAGTAACTAATGGACAATTAAATAATATTATAACTTCTCTATCATCAAAGAGAAGAGAGGAGTTTCAATGTCAAATGTGTATGGAGTAGAGGTTTAGATTTTAAATTTATTAATTTCATCTAATTGAATTGAAATTCAACCGTTATTAATTAAATATGGAAATCATAATGATTTTTCAAAAAAAAAAAAAATATTCATCATTGGTTGGAAGTATTTATATTATTTTATTATGGTAGTCCAAGATACTCAATATTTTCTCGTAAATGGATATATAATTGAAATGAACAAGAAAGAGACATATATATATATATTTCAACTAGAGTTGCTCCAAAACTCAACCAAGCCTCCGAGTGAGCAAAACAAGGAGTTACCCCATTTTGTCGATACATACGTATGTATGTATATATATATCAATCAATCAACGTTTGAGATGAGGGTAAATGAGGGTAATGGGATGGTATGTGTTTGGTTCTTGCCTTGTTTTGTTGTGTGTATAATTGTGATGACGCTGTTAACTGTTGTGACCAAGAGACAGCATTGGTAGCCGAAAACGAGAAAAATGTTGTGATGAATGTCACTTCTTTTTGGCCGCTTTCTTCATCTTCTAAATAACACATCCCCGCACCCACACCTTCCACCAGCCACCCTCATCATTTCATTTTTAGCCTTTTGTTGATATATATATATATCCCTTACGTTTCAAAAATTATGTTTAGAGAGAAAATTTAATAAAAGTAAATATTTTTAAACACTGTTATTTTGTTGCGACCATCGCAACACTCACGGGTTATTATTTATAAGGTTGCCATGTAAACAATCGCAACATGCACGAGTCAATTGATTGTGGTGGTAAAATTTACTTAATAGATAACCTACGATTGGAAAATTTTGGGACTACAGTACCTTCGGGATATTATAAAACTTTTCCACAAACAAATACTCCTATAAAATTTCCATGTATATATATATCTTATCTTAATGAGAAGCATGCATTCACTTTGTGTTTTGTAGGGAATTGAACATGATGTTGTGGCCCGAATTTAATTGGAGGGATTGAATTTTGTGTGAGACCAAGGAGTTTGTGGCAGCGACCCCGAGAAAGAAAATTTTGGCCCTTTTTTCGATTACTGGTCGCGGAGAAAATGATTTGGAGTTGGATTAGTGAGAACAGAAAATCTCAGAGAAAGAAAATGAGCAAGAGCTAGGGTTTGTTTGGGACTTGAACTTATAATTTCCTGTATTTCGCATGGAAAAATTACTTTTAAGGCCGAGGAGATAGAAAAGTTTTGATTGGTTATTGTATGCAAAATATAAGGAAGTAAGGCCCTCCACTCATACTTTCTTATATAGTTCAAATATGACAAATCAAAATTCACTATAAGATTTTGGCTTAGAAATAACTTTCGTCCAATCTTTATCATAAATGTAAACACAACTTATATTGAGCCACGCTAAATCATTGTACTATTTTTACTTTATTTTATATCCTAATTTATGATTTATTATTATTTCGTTACATTTGTGGTAACAGACCTTCATATCATTAATCTACAAGGTCTAAAAGTCTCTTCATTCAACTATTAGTTTTTCTCCCTCGAAACACACCTCATGGCAATTTGAACAATCAGCTTTTCCTTTGTAAGGTAGATGATGAGATATGAGTAAATTACCTCTTGGATTCAACGATGATGGAAGCAGTGGGAACTTTGCATTGTCTACATGTATATATATATAGTTTCTATGATCAACAAATCACTTTCACACAACACGTTAAAAAAATATATTTATCTTGTCTGCAACTTAGTCCACGCGTCTCAAATAACCGTCCAATCTATGGAGTCTACTCAAAATATTTTATAATCAATGCTGCATGAATTTTGGGTTCATTTAAGCGTTGAGAAGGAAATCGATAAAAAGGTGTGTTTATTTACCTAGAAAAAAAGTATATAAAGGTGTGAAAGAACTGTTAGGTTTTTTAATCGTGTTTTGCTTGTAGCTCATTTTTGACCAAAGTTAGATGTGTTAGGTTAGTGAAGACCAACTCCAATCCTTGAAGGATTTAGGCATTAATTGATGTGGACTTTTGCAACTTCATAAAAATATTATCAGTAACAACAACTAATAATGGTACTATATGTGATAAAAGATTAATCGGTTTATTTAATTAGAACAAACTCAACCAGTCACACTCATACTCATACATAATATAAGCCCTCTTTTTTAAAAGAAAGCTGTTCGAACGTCAACGAAGATATGAGTATGTATTTGCTTAACCTTCAAAATATATATATATAATTTATCCAACAACAACTAGTCCACGTATAATACTAAAATAATTATATGCTAAAAAAAGTATCAGAAAAACTATTGTTTCATTTATTTATTTTTTTCAATAAGAGGAGAGGAAAAAAATAAACATTGAGAAGAAATCATATGTGCTTATTTGAGAAAACAGTATCGTCCAGGCCTACAAAACTTACAAGACCATATTTGATGTAATTATCAGCTTCACTGATTTTTTTTTTTCACAGAGTGATATGTACCAAATTTCATCTTAACCTTGGTTTTGAAATTTCATTTATACACCAGCATCTAATCCCATACACAAATTAGACCATAAAATTGTTTGGTACAACCACAAAGTTGATATTGTCAAGTGGTGAGAACATTTCAATTATGAAGGCGACTTGTGCAAATCAGTTATTCCATACAAATTGGGACCTTTGTAAAGAAGAATCTGGAAAATACATTTATACATAAACTTCAGAATATGTTTAACAAGAAAAGCCACTTGCATGTATGTAGCCTTCTAAGAGTATGAAATCACTTGTATCACTAAATTCTAAGTAAAATACAAGTACACAGTGATAAGAGTACTATAAAAAAAAAAAAAAAATTTAAAAAAAAGAAAAAAGAATACATTGCAATATGATGTTGAAAGTAGGTGGCTTCTTTTGGTATACTCCACACTATCTTGACCAAATCCTTTTCTTGCTATCCCTCTCCTTGATTCCTTGAACCTGATCTCTGCTAGTTTTGTTATGAGCAGAGGAGGGCCTTTGAGCATTTGTTAAAGGCTTGGCTGTTCTAGTAATCCTCGAAAATGGTTTAGGTGGATCAGATTGCCTGCTGCCCTTGCTATCATTGAGGGAAGAAGTTGATATGTTCTCTGTTTCGCTATTTTTGGATAGTCGCTTCCTTCTAACATTGTGAAGGGAGTCATTCCCTTTCAGCAAATTAGACCCTTGACTCATCCGGTGGTTTATTGAGTTTGAATTCCTTAATATATTGTGCTCAGCCCCGTTAGTGATTTCATCTCTTACGTGGTGGCATTTGCTTTCGAGGGGGGTGGTGGCAGTGGTTCTTGTTGAAGCAATAGAATCTACAGTCCTGTTACATTCCAACTGTTGCTCTAGTTCCTTCACTGTGTCTTCAAGCTCCTTAATCTGCCATAAAAAGTATTATAATAGAATCTGCTAAATTCTCTTTTGTCTATAAAACTCATAGACTCAACAAGTTTTTGAATCAGTTCAGTGTCACAAAGAAGTCAAAAGGAATCAACCAAAGTATGTATTTGAAAAAATTGGGCAGTCCATGGTACCCATAATATTTACTGACGAATTTACTCTGAATAACTGGTATTAGGAACTTTAAATTGTCCAACGTATTTCTCTGAATAATGGGTATTGGGAAATTTCACAGGCAGAAGTTTAGAGAGATTAAAGTAAAAAGAAAAGAAAGAAAGAAACCTTCAAATTAAGTAAGGAGTCTGAGTTATGTTCCTGCTCTTCCAATTTACCCTCAAGCTCCTTAACCTGTAACAATGAAGAAAACAAATTGTTTAGTGTAGCTGCTACCCCATTCACATCATCAATAAGGGAAATTACTTTTTCAATCACAATTCTGGACAACCTTCTGCTGAAGAGTGATGGAATGAGATTCAAACTCTTGCACTTGCTCTCTCAGCTTGTTTTCAAGATCCTTCACCTGGTTAAGAATTACAGAAAAATAGCCAGTTAGTTCTCTAATTATTTCTCATTGTTAATAAAATTTAAAAGATCGGTATCATTCAATACAACAGCATGGACACGAGAAACTAATGTGTGGAAATACCTCTCTTTTTTTATCAAAGAATATAGACACTAGGCAAAACTTACATATCCAACTTTCAAACATTAAGATAGGGTTCAAGCGTACCACCCAACTGTAGCCCAGTTGGGTGGGGGTGTGAGTTTATTTGCTAGGGGCAAAAAAATAAACATTTCAAGCACGGATGATTTGCCAATCTTCGTAAACATAGTATGCGTAATTCTACATTCATCTACATGTAATTGGCCATGAACTATATAACCTATCAAATAAACAAGTTAAAAAAGAAGTTTGTGATAATTACCTTCTGTTGGTAGGTTGCAGATTCTAAGTGCTCTCGCTCTCTAAGTTTGTTCTCTAGCTCTTTGACCTTCAGCAGACATAAGAATATCATTAGGACTGCCACTTTTAGTAAAGAAAACAAAAGAAGCAACTATCAGAATTGGCATGAGAGTAAGGCAACCTTTTGTTGCAAATTGGTGCAAATTTCTTCCCTCCCCTTCAATCTATCTGAAAAATGCAAGAGTTGCTTCTCTGACTGGTTGTGCAACGCTGTCTTCAACTCGAGCTGGCCTTCGATTTCTTTGATCTTTTCCTGTTGAGTTTTGTAAAGCTGATCCTTGCCACTGGCCTTGCTTTCTAGGCTGTGTAAGCTGTCTTCTAGCTTCCTTAGGGATTCATCTTTGGATCTGGATTCCTGCCTTGCTTTATCAAGCTTCAGGGAATTCGTGAAAGAAATGGTAAATAAAGTGCTATACTTACTAGAAAATATATCTTAAGATATGAAAGGAATTTATATTCGCATACTCCAATTGAACTTCAAGCATACCATCACTTTCATCTTTTGAAGCTCACTTGTATCAATTTGCCTTTTTGCAGGACCCAACTCAATCCCTCGAACCCGTGTTGCAAAATTTAGTGAACTCAAAGTCTCACTCAAGTCCTGCTCCGAGGGGCTGATTTGCACAAACATTAAAGTTTTGGAGTCACCCCCTGCAACATACAACAGATTTAAAAATAACAGAAACAGGTGAAGCTAAGCAAGTATGAAATCTGTAGTGTGCCGAATCTGAATTGACATCCATAGTGACAAACAGCTAATTAGATGGATATATCAGATTTACCTAATGAATCCTGAAGCAAATGTGTCAGCTTAGAGTTCCTGAAAATAATGCAGCAAGCAAGGAATGGTCAAAATACAAACACTGGTGCAGGAATAACAAGCAAGCAAGACTAAAACTTACCTGTATGGAATGTGACTGTTTTTAGCTGCTAAAGCAGAAATAACATCGCCAAGCGCTGAAAGTGATCTATTGATGTTTTGAGCTTCCTTGAGCCGATCTCCCTGCACATCAGTCTTTGCAAGCCTCTCACTGCCTGCCAGATCCACTAGCCACAACTTGCTCTTGGTGCACTCACCATTCATCAGGTTCTTAGATGTTACCATTACACAAAGCATGCTGATAGAAATGGAAAATATTAAAAATGAAAATTAGAAAGACTATTGTATCATTAATCTAATTGTTAAAAAAAAAAAAAAAAAAAAAATTCCCTCACACACACAAAAGAGCAAAGCAAAACCAAACAAGAAGCTAAGATCAAGTAAAAGTAAAAGAGGGAAGAAGTTGTGGAACTCATTACCAGTGAGAACGGCTGCTATGCTCATTCACATTATTGGATCCAACAGCCCGGGCACTGCTTCCAACGTGCAGTACATTCCAGACTTCCTTTATGTTCTCTACTTTTGCTTCCACTATCCCCGGGACATTATGAAACCCTTCAGAAGCTTGCTTTATCTCCAACCTAGTATTGCACCCAAAAGAGAAATTTCAATAGGTATGAGTCTCTATCTCAGCCAAGCTAAGTCACCCTTTTACCTACAAACTTGGTTGAGTTTTACTATAAGCAAGCACATAAAAAATAATACGGTAGTATTACTTCTTCGATGGTGGTGATGTAGCCAGCAGGTCCCTGATATGCTCGTTGTAGACTTCAAGCACACTTACAGATATATCATAGGTAAAAGTTTCACTTCTTTCTTTAGCAATTCTAAACAATTCCTCAAGGGTCCTATAATTGACTCCTCGGTTCTGCAGAGTACCCTCCATTGTGAACGTCTTGCCCGTTCCAGTTTGCCCATAAGCAAATATACAGACATTGTAGCCATCCAACACAGAGATCACCATTGGTGAAGCATCGCTAAACACGTCAGCTGATGAGGAAAACCAAAACTCTCAGTACAATCTTCTAAAAATGATGATAGTGAATCCATCCATTTTGTAGTATTATATAAAATATTAGATACCCTGATCATCTTTTGGTGTGTAAACTCGGTCGAATTTAAAGGTCTTTTTGGTAGAGCCACCACTCACGATCCCAAGTTCTCCATCCTTGGCTGCATCAAAGTCTACAATGGTTGCATGCCGAGCTGAGACCTCCACCTTGCTTAATGGACGGCACCGGCAAAATACCCTGATATTCCCTGATATTCAACAACTATAATGAGTGCCTTTTAGGTTATATTCTCCTAATAAAACATAAAAGACATGTCATTACAATATATAGATATAAAAAAAATTAGTCATGCCTTTTGCCTCCTGAACTTGGTTATAGAGCTTCCTTCTCTTTACTTGCTCTTCATTGTACTTCACTTTAAGATCCTCACACTGAGCAACTGCAAAATGATTCAATGCAGATGTGTAATGCATTATTCAGATTATGCAAAGTTAAAAGATCAAGTTATCATCAACCTTACCTAAGGCCTGAACTGCAAATACCATTTTATTCAACTCAGGAATTGAATCGGTACATTCGTGTGCTTCACGAGAGAGCTGAGAGTGCTCCTGTCTCATTATCTGCTTACCATATTAAAGGGATATGTAATAAGAACTGAATATACAATTAAAATATATGTGTGTGTGTGTGTGTGTGTATATATTACCTTCTGCAGGGAAAAGAAAAAAGATACAAGAAACAAATGAGAATGTAGAGGAAATTACATAAGATACCTTTATTTTTTCCTCTAAATTTGTTATTGCTGCAGTCCAGAACTTCTTGTCACGCTCATATCTACTAGTAATATTCATCAGGTTCACAGCTTGTTTCTCCACAGTTTGATCTAGAAAAGGATAAAATATAGAATAATCAGAAGCATTCAAGATTTATAGAATAGATAGACCACCAAACCATCACAAGTTCTTATATATTGTCCGAGCCACTTTTTGGGGGTGAAGCTAAAACCTTTATTGACCCTCACTTTTATTGATACTTTCAATACGTCAAGTATCAACTAATTAATAACATTATTTTATTATTTTATAGCATCTAAAGACGCAACTTCACTACAATATATTTTTATGACCAAAAATTTGACAAAAGCACGTATACTAATGAATACAGAAAATTACAGACATACAATCCCAAACAACAAAATTGATACAATTCCAAATAAAACCTCAGGTAATGATTTAATAAAAACATAACATTTTTTTTCTAAGAATCAGAACTTTAGATAAATTAAACACAATTAAAATAACAGGTTGAATGCATGTGTGTGTGTTGAATGCATGTTTGTGTGTGTGTGTGTGTGAGAGAGAGAGAGAGAGAGAGTACAATTATAACTGATATTTTAGTTATTCAAACTTAATTTCTTATTTATTTATTTTTTTCAAAATTGAAGATTGACTCCCGGCATTTACTTTTTGAATGATTTATATGCATCAAATTATAATGTTTTCTGATAATGTTATATAGGTCCCGTATCTTCTAAATTTCAGTGGTTTCAGTTAACCCCACTCAACACTTGGTAGCTTCGCCCATGCATATCTTAGAATAATACTAGGTATACCTGACCAGAAAATGCTAACAACCCACCTATGAATTTTCCTATTATTATATGTTCATTAACCACTTTAGACTGGCCCAAAGATTTTTACATCTTTTAGTAAATAGGAGACAAAGGGGATAGTGCAAGAACTAAGATCCCCTTCCATTCTAATTTAAAGATATCGACATGTTTACTTCAAATAAGGAAAATACGGAACTCATTTTAATGTCATCTTACCAAGAGAGTATGTCTGGAACAACTTATTGTCAAGTTCCATCCTAACCTTCTGTAGCTGATCATTTGCAGCATCCAAAGACATCCAAGCTTGATAACATTCATCTGTCTTGTGCTTGCACTGGGTACTCAACTCTTGTATCCTTTTCTCGTACTTGGCCGTTGATTTCCTTTTCATGACTTTCTTCTGCAAACCCAAATAGTTAAAGATTATTTTTACCAACAATCCCAAAAATTTAAAATATTGAAGTTCCATGTTGATTTGAATCATACCTGAGCTGAAGGTACTTCAATAGCAGCAGAACAGTTGTTACATATAAGATATTCATGCGTCACTTGTGGAGCTGTAATCAAGTTAACGAAGGGTAAATTAGAAAGTGCTAGTAAATATTCTGCTCCTTACGTATAGAATGTTTGGGACAAGAAAAGATACCCGGAATCTCTGGTGCTTTCCTTATGCAGATTCCACTAACCATTGGGCTTCCATTGACCCCTTCGAATCTTACTGAAATAACACCATCATCTTTAACAGAGACTCTCGAGTCAACTAGCTGCAATGGCTTGTTGGCTCCAACAATGGAGAAGATATCAAAGTCAGACAGAACCTGCCATAATTTCAACAAAATGAAACTTCTAAATACGGGACATAACCAAACACAATATAATTATAATAGAAGTTTTTTTTTATTTTTTTATTTTTATATATATATAAAATTGACTTGCCTTCTCATCCTGCATGTATACATTGAATACCCTCATTCCTTTAGGCCCATACGTGTTTATGATCTCCACAAAATGAAGATCAACATAATATTTTCCAGGAGGTAGATTGTTGAACCGGTAATCAAAGTTCCCTAATCGTGCTGACTGGTAAATGAATGGAAAATCACCACCCTCAGTTATATGCTCCTCGGTTTGGAAGACATCTCCCCCATGAAAGAAGTTATCAGCCATAAAGGTCATATTGGACTCTACTTCCATTGAAGTCACACCGCCAGCATTTACAAACAACAAAACTTCTTCTGCTCCAAGAAATCGATGCAATAAAGAAAGCACTTTAAGGCTTACACACCAAAAGAGCCCCACCAATAAAAATAAGTAAATAAATAAAGCTTAACACTCTGAAGCCTCCATATGGTTCTAAAGAAGACTGAGCGACAAAAAAGAAAGTCAGATGAAGATTTATAAATGTGGTCATTTTTAAGCATCTTCATTCCCTTTTTCTAAATGAATGGAGCCTCAGCCTCTGCTTGGTTACCAACAAAATTGCAGAAGGAAAACTAAACTAACAATTCACATCTATTTTGCATTACTTCATTTTTCTCAACAAAGCCAAGTAGATGTTACAAGGAACAGTTTTGTGGACTTCTTTTGATTTCTAGGGTTCCATTTTCCACCCTGTAAAATCTATATTTCTCATTTCTCAACCAAACAAATTCACATTTAAAAATATTAACCCTCAATGGCTAAGCCCTTCAATCCAAATAAAACCCGGTTCATTCTTGAGAAGGTAAGAACATTTTATGTTCTAAATCAGCAAGATGTTATTATAACACTCAGAACCTACTCAAATGACCAATGACACAACAACTAAATTTCACAGAAATAACCTAAATAAAACCAAATATTGCCACACTTAAAATAAAGGAAAAAAAAATGGGGAAATATTGCCATAACCTAAAACAGTATAAATTCTAAGGTTTCAGGCATGAAATAACGTAAAAGACAAAAATGTCCAGAAACACTACCGAAATTTGGTGAAAAATACATAAAAGCACCACAACATATGCAAACCTGTACAATTGGGCTTCATGAATCCGTTTGGAACTAGACTTGAACCCAAATTGCAAAGTGTAGAATCAACCAAAGTTTCATCGTCCTCCTCCATGGCGGAATCTTTGTGTTCTTGATCCAAAGGTTCCTTCCAACCACAAACCCTAGAAATAGAGGGGTCCGAAAATAGGGTTTCAGGGTCTTTGCCAAATCTGTTGAATTGGGCCTCCATGACGGAATCTTGGTGTTCTTGATCCAACGGTTCCTCCCCACCACAAACCCTAGTAACAAAGGGATCCGAAAATACCGTTTCAGGGTCTTGGCCGAATGTGTTGAATTGGGCGTTTTCCATGAAATTAGGAGTCTTTTGTGTTTGGAAGATGAGAAGATCTTGAAAAAAAAAAAAAGTGACAGGAAAGCTCTTTAGCAGCAGAAGAGTGAGGATTTGGAAGAGAGATGAGAGGGGCAGAGTTTCGTTTCTTTTGCTTGTGTTGGAATTGAGTGTTCAAATTTCAATTTTCAAGACCGTTGGAAAAATGACCGTTGCCCCTTGTGGGCTCACTATTTTCCCAAATATATACCTCAAAGTCAAAAAGCTATCAAGATGACTCACACAACCTTTGTCGAGGAGGTGAGTGAATAAACATTTTTTGTGCGTGGACTTAAGTTGGTAAAACAAAGTACCGGCTCTGGTATTTGCCTATTTGGTGACCCAATGGCCACAATATAGAACACATTTTATAAATGATTTTTTTCAATAATAAGTTTATATATATATATAAACTTTAATTTGAGTTTAAATAGGCAAATTAATTTGAGTTTATAATAATAAGTTTACTTGCAAAAAAAGAAAACTTTAATTTGAGTTTTGATTTAAAACTTTACTAAAGTAAGATCTCTAATGCTATAAGCACAATTAGAAAAGGGGAGGTGATAAATGCACTTTACTTTTAATATGAAATGACATAATTGAGTTTTAATAAATCCATTTTACTTTTAGGCTCCGTTTGTTTCGACGTAAAATATTCTTTTTGAAAAATATGTTTCTTCTTCAAGTATAATATTCTTTTATTTTTACTTTGTCGGTGTTGGACAAAGGTCTACATTGAGTAAGGGTGACAATTCGTGTTTGTGGGCCGTGTTCGTGTCGTGTCGATTTAAAGATATTATACTAATAGGTAACTCCAAACTCAACCCATTTAATAATTGTATAAAAAATTCTCAACACTAACCCAACCCGTTTATTAACAAGTTAACGTGTTAACTCGTTTAATGACCTGCTTATCAAAACGAGACATTTAATATTTAATCAAATACTAAATAATAGAAGAAAAAAATTGCCACAATTAACCCAAATTTTCAAAATAAAAAGAAAATCATAAGACATAAATAAGGATTATGTTGAAATGACTTAATTATCGATAGTAATTGGGTTTAAACAGGTAACATATTACATAGGTCATATTTATGATTATAACATGTTGAGTTAAATGGGTTATAAACGGGTTATACGAGTTGAACCCCTCAACCCCAACCCGACACGATTAAGTAAACGAGTTAATCGTGTCGATCCTTTTATGATCCAAACCCGTTTGTGCTAAACCCAAACATTTTTAAGTCGTGTTGTATTGTCGTATCGTGTCGTAATTTGCCACCCCTAACGTTAAGGTTGAGGTGTAATCCATCGGAGAGGACATATAAAATAACTTGTCAAAAATTGATTGATAAGTTATTTTTATTAAATTTTAATAATTTTTTTCTTTATAAATATTTACGACAATCAAACACCCGAAAATTAAAAAAAAAATTTCTGAAAAATATTTTATATCCAAACAAATGGAGCCTTAATATTCATAAAAAGTGAAGATTAAAAATTGCTCTAAATTGACCATAGAGTAGGGAAAAGATGAATAGTTACTAAATTTAACTTTTAATTACAAAAAACAGTAACGTACTATTGGAATTTATTATTAAAATTACCCCCTTCACACATTAGACACTTTCGTACTAATATCTCTAGCACACAATACCCGTCCCTTCCTCTCACAGGAGTCTATTTCTTCCCTCCAATTATCCTACTGTAAACCAAAATTTCCCTACCATTCTTGTGGCAATAAAGATACTTTAACATTGCGTCAAGAAGGTTCACTATATTTTTATTTTATTTTTATTCTTAGAAAATGTGTATCGGCCTTATAACATGCACACTATTTAAGTCAGGAGTGCGATTCTAAAGTAAGATCTCAAAATGACAATAATTTACCTTTTGAATCTCTATCAACGTCACTAATCAAAGTTCACTATATAAATATATATACATATATAACTATTGACCTAATGGATGAGATGACTGCACTTGAATCATAACTCACCTAATTCAACTCATAGACAATGACATGAACCGTCTAGTGATGCCTAGTTGGTTGATGAATGGCTTAGATATGCATGATTGGTGATTTAGATCCAAAGTTTGATGAGATATGGAGAATTAGAGTTCAGAATCGCATCCTATTTATTTATGTGTTTTGTTTTGATTTTGACTTCAAGGTTATATATATATATAAATTTAGGCCTGATGTGGATAGAATAACCTGAGTTTCGACAATCAAACTCTGGACTGTAGTTTTAGATTAAAAGCCCAGCTCAGATTCATGGGCCTCGTGGCAGCTCTCTCAATCATTTGCAAAGTGGATTCTATTATTTTTTTATTTGTTTTTTCAACTATTTAGAACACATTGTATAAAATAAAATTCAATTGACTTTTTAGATGGAGATATTAATATTAACTATCAAAGTTAAACAAAATTATTTTACAGGGGCCTTTTTAGTGATTATTTAAGGGTAATCTGGTAAAATCATTTACTTGCTTATTACAATCTGTTTACTTTATTCTAAGAGGATGCATTGCCCCCCTCTGTGAAATGCAACCATTTGCAGTCCTTTACAGCTATTATAATTCAATATGTTTTTTTAATCAATAATACCATGAGGGAATGTGCATGAAGCTTTTACCTCCTCCCCTACAAAAAAAAAGTGCCTAAAGCTTTTGAGATGCGTGAGTTTGGCCGAATTAATTGTTAAAAAATAAATAAAAGAAAAGAATTTAGGAAAAAAAAAAATTAAAGAAAAGAATGTTATGGGTCAAGGGTTAATTATTAAAGGGGAGGAAAAAAGAGAAGGTGTAAGACTTGAACACAAGTTCTTGGATACTAAAAGTAATCCAATCACTTAAATAACATGACACTTGTAATGAATTGTAAGAATTAAAATTCATTTTTTCACAAACTTTGTGCTGTACTTTTTTTTCTTTTTCATTCTTTTGTTTTTTGCATTTCCATTGAGGATGCAACAGAATTCAACACAATTATATCCAAAAGGTGACATCTGTGTAAAATTGATGCAACACTTATCTTAAAGATACTAAATCAACATGCAATAATGGCCAATTTTATTAGTAAAGTACTTTTGTTTTATGTTATGAGGATATATTTTTTTGGGTGTTATTTTAGTCACTTAAATCTAAATTTACTTAACCCATCAAATAATTATAAAAGAGGGACGTTTAATATGGAATGGAGGGATTATGATACTATAATTGAGTCATGGGATATAAATGGCCTAAAATTTTGCCAGTTATATGTTCATATTTGGATTATAAAAAAAATTAATGATGAATAATGCTCTTAAGAGACCTTCCTTGTAAGAAGAGTCACAACTCTCTATAATTAATCAATTTCTTATTTTTTATTTTTTTAAATTTATAAAAATTTAAACGATTCATTTAATACATCTTTTTATTCAAGGGTTAAAATAGATAGCCCATTGACATTACTCTTCAATGAATGTATAAAAAAATGGTAGACGAATATTATAAGTGTACTAAAATGGTATTTATCAATCATGTTAACCAGACAAATAATAAATTAAATTCTTGTTAAATGAAAAATAATCATTTTTCATGATTTTTGAGTGACCAAAGATGGAAAAAAGAAGTGAAAATACGTCATTTCCAAAGATTGCAGACCAGAGACGTTATCTCACATTCGGGTCTCCACATAAATAAATGTAAAATTTATATAGTTGGGACTTCTTAATGTCATCATTGCAAACATAAATTAGAGGTAATAAAATGACTAGGACTTTACTTAAAAAAAAGGGTAAAATAAAATAATAATAATAAAATAAAATAAAATGGAAAGAGCACTGCTATTGGTTAAAACCTCACCAATAGACTCGTGACAAGTCACCAATAGCATGAGCTGCTGCTAAACGCACATCGCTGGATCTTATCTCTCATTTATGATGAGCGCACAGCAACAATTGTTTATTTCAAGGGCATGAAATCCCGAAACTGCCACTTCACAAACGTTGAAATTAAAAATCTAAAACACAAGCCCAATCTCTCTCACGCCGCGTGAAAAAAAGTTATCACACGGAAAACTACGCCATTAGGGTTTCAATCTTCACGCACTAACAAAGCGCGTGAAGAGAACTTTTGTGAAACTCACCAAAGCAGAAAGAAGGGGGCGTCCCTGTTTATCAAATTTGGGGCGTCCCCATCCTTCCAGCCATCGTCGAATCTTCAAATTTTCCCTCACTTTCTCTCCGTTTCTCTCTCTCGACACACACATATAACATAACACACACATATATATCAATTTGCTTCTTCTCACTTCTCTCTGTCTCTCTCTTCACTGTCTTCCATAAGTGAATGCAGTAATAGCAAAGGAAAATGGGGATGAAACACCGATCGCGAGCAATTTATCTCACAGAGGAAATCGATTAATCTATTCTAAAGTGGTAAATCTTTTATTCCTTATAATTATATGTGATATGTGTATATATATGTCGTATCATTCTGATTACTGCATGTATGTTATGTGTGAATTTCTATATGAGCAATGTTGGTCTGCTCATTTATATATGGTTTGTAACTAATACCAGATTACTTACCATTGAAATTTGATTCTAATTAAGTGCAATTTATTCTACATCATACTAATAAGCTGGTAGTTTATATTTTCTAGGTTTGTGTTTCTGGGATAAACTTGAGTCTGCAAGTGGATTTCTCAAACTTACTTCCCAGGCAAAGTTTAGTGAGACCTTGATCAGGTAGTAATCATACTTCTGCATATCATTAGTGGGATAACCATTTGTAAAGATTGTGTCTTGCTTTGTATGTATGGTACTCATGAATTGTATAGTGTTGTTTTAACGGTGTTTTTTGGTTGCGACTTATTTGTTGGATGGAAATTGGGCTTGGATTGAATTAGATAGATGGAAATTGGCATATCATACTCCTTCTGTTTGATAAAATATTTGTATAGTACGAATGCATCATTGCCATCTCGTCTTTCTTGTTCAGAGTTTTTCATTTTGCAATCAACTACAGTTGCATGCCACTTTTTAGGAGTTTGACGATTTTGACTAGAACAACTCACCTCCACCCCAATCGCTGTGTGCAAAGCCCTCCTATTTCTTTAGCATGATGGATTGCACAATTTTAAATTCATACTTGTTTTTTGGATTGTGTGTGTTTTGCCGGCAGTGCACCTTTAATTGTATAAGAGGATATTCATGGAATATGCATGTCAGCATGCGATATTGACCTTTTGTTTTGGTTTTTAATATATTGGTATGTTAGATACTCCAGAAAAGTGGCTGTAGGGAGTGAGGAGGGAGGGGGAGAGAGAGATTGGTGTGTCAGACCTATATAGACACTTGGAATTTGTTGCATCTGTATTTACGTCGAGAGAATGGAGAAGACAATTTTTTTATGTTTGTTTCTTTTTCTTAAATGGCCTGCATGAATAAGCGTGTTGGCAAAGGTGGTAGCTGCAACTGGGCATCTTGGGTTCTCCCTTGAATCAAGTAGTTCGTGTAGTTTGCAGTTGATTGTCTCTTGTAAGAGTTAATCTTAACTCAAAATGAGTTGGGGACCATAAAAAACTTATTGTTTAGTTAAACTTACTATCTAGTTGTTGTTTTTATATCTATGCATATATTAAAAATATATGCGTACATAGATGCGTCATTATGGTATTGGTTTGGGGAATTGCCTTGTCTGATACCAGTGCCATAGTCAGTGACTATGTTGCCATCACGTCCACCCAAAAGATGTTTGTAAGATTTGGACATAATGGAAAACAGTTTAGTTAGAAGAGTTAATTGCCTTAATACAAAGATCTTTTTACATGTTGGTGAAGAACTTTTTATGACTTGGGTCTTTTTTGAACAAGAAATGTAATTCCTTCCCAACAGGGATTTCTCCAATGAATATCTTATGGTTCTGCGAACTAGCTCAATGTACTTAAAATTTTTAAAATTTAACAAATTAATCATAAAGGTACATATCACGTGTATATTATGTATGGTCTATTAAATATTAATATATAATAATGGGGTTGGGGGCATTAAAATACTCTATGGACTTGGGGTTGGGGGACCGGTTGATAATTTTTCTCAAACTCACTACTAAGAAATGCCTATGACTAAAGTGATTTGAAAAATATTGGGGGGACAATAGCCCCCCTTAGTCTTCATAATGTTCCGCTCCTGGTGAGAATGATGTTTGCCCAAAAGTTTTCAATGGATGGAAGTTGGTGGTTTGTGACTTGTGGGTATTTGTATATGTATTGGGTCTTATTAATATTTGGGGTAATTGATAATTGATGTATAGATTTTTCAATATATCAGTTGCTTAGACTCTAAATATCTATTTTCTCTGTTATTCTGGATAGTTTTTTCAAACTCTTCAAAACCATGATTTTGCTATTTGACTGAACCCCACTTTCTCTCTCAGTTGGAAATGAAAAGACAAGTTCCTTTCCTATTTGTGTCTCAAATTCAACTTGCTTCTTGTTCTTTTAGCAATCAAATCTCCATCTGTTAAAGTTATTTGTGGATTTTGTATAATCAAAATTCCGGATAGTCTAGGTAGTAGGTCTTTGCGTTCAAATTGCAGGATCGATTAGGAAACATGAGATACTATGAAATGAACAAAAAGTTACTTGTATATGTGTGAGTGAAAATTGTAAACAATTTATAAAAAAAGGTAATTTGAGGAAATATAGAAAATTTGGTTAGTCCTGTCAAAGGGTAAAAAACAAAAAAGTTCGGGAACTAAAAGATGTATACAAACAATGAATACATGATAGAAAAGGCACTAAACAAACGGAAAAAAAATTGAGTGGAATGATCTAGTGATGGAAAATGAAATTGCAGAAATTATTTGACAGTGTATGCAATTTGTAGAATATGCTTAATATAATTTTTTTATTAATAAATATTGCAGAATTTATGTATCTCATTTTAATTTAAAGTTTATAGATGTTTGTGGTTGATACTTGATAGGAATCTTGAGGCTCACTCCTTTAGAGAATGAACAAGGGAAAAAAATAAGAAAAATTCAATTGATTTGGGAGTTGGATTGAAATGTATGATATACATTTGAGGGTGGTTGCAATGCACGATCCTGATTGCAAGTTAAAGAGTTTATTTTGGGGGATCGAGTTGTCACCTGCTGATTTAGAAATGGATTTTGAATTTTCTTTTATTACCCTTTGTCCCATACTAATGACTCGGATGACATTATGTATTAGGCTAAAAGGAGAATAGCGGTTACCTCAAGGAAGCTAATGAATTACTAAACTCTGGAAACTAGGATTCGAAAGATCAAAACTTATTCTTTATACAATTGAGCAGTTATGGTTATCTATACACTGTTTAAGTACCCTTAAGGGAATTAATTACACAGCATATTCTCAGGGCATTAGAAGGAATATTCTTAACCATCAGCAACTAGTAAGCAATCTACCGTTTCTAGAGGATCTATTATTTCTGTATAAAGAAAGGACTTTGTTAGACAATTAATAGGGAATGCATTAAAATGCTGTAAAGTAAGGAATTTTATCAATCAAAGAGGAAAAACTTATTCTTCACTTGATCAGGCAACATTATTGTGTAAACATCTTGTATATACATGTTTGTTATTCTTTTTGTTATTATTATATGATCGTTATTAGGAAATGATGTAGTTTATGCTGAATGGACTCCTCTAAGTAGTGATGTACCCTTCCCTGATACATGTTAAATGTGTGTTATATGTCTACACTCAATCTCTCATCTTTGAGGTTCAGGTACTAGAATGGGGTAGAAATACTTGATTCCAGTAAGTGAGGAAAGTGCGCATCATGGAATAATCCTGGTCTGCATATTTTTTATTTTGCAAAATTTGTGGATTGTTCCTTGATACATGTTAAAATGTGGATTGTTCTCTAAATGACTCCTTGACAAAATATTGATGTGAATGAACTATGAATCATGGGAGTGATTTTAGGAATCTTTCCTATGTCATTTTATCACATGTTTGTATTCTTTCACCTATAAACAGAGGTGATAATTGTATACAAAGATTAAGAGAGAATATTATAAAAGTGGTGTAGCCCTTTGGGTTCTTTGTCGCGTGGATGTAGGCCCTAGTGGCTGAATCATGTAATATCTTTGTGTTCTTGTTTCATTTTTCTCTCCACTTATAATTTCTCCTAGGTTCGGACCCCTATTTGGGGTATTCCCTTCGTGTCTGAAATGTGCTAAGGGTCTCTCAGTGCTATTTGTGACTTGTTTGGGCTGCTGGTGTGTTTGGTAGCATTGTTCTTCGCCTTCGCCGCGTATTTGGTGTTATTTGTGACTTGTTTGGGCTGCAGGTGTGTTGGGTAGCATTGTTCTTCGCCTTCACCATGTGTTTGGTGCTATTTGTGACTTGTTTGGGCTACCGATGTGTTCGGTAGCATTGCTGTTTGCCTTCACTGTGTGTTCTGACAATTTTATTTTATTTTTCAAATCGTTGGAAAATGATCCGTTTCATGATTTGATGTGCAAGCTGGGTGTTATTTCCATACATGTGGAGGGGGAATGTTGGAAGATGCTATTTTTGGAGAATATCATTATAGGAGTGATTTAAGCTCTTAAATCACTCCTTGACTTATTATTGATTTGAGTGAATCATGGACTGATTTTAAGAAATCTTATTTATCTCATGTTTGTATTCTTTTTTTTTTATTTTCCTAGTTGATACTCACACAACCCCCGCAAAGGAATTGTTTTCACCCAAGCACATGTTTGTATTTTTTCACCTGTAAATAGAGGTGATAATTATATACAAAGATTAAGAGATAATATTATAAAAATGATGTAGCCCTTTGGGGTCTTGTGCAGTGGATGTAGTCCCTAGTGGCTGAATCAAGTAATATCTTTGTGTTCTTGTTTCATTTCTCTCTTCACAGTCATCACTTATATTTTAGTATTTGCAACAGTTCTTCCTTGTGCTGGTTCTTCTAATATCTATTGTTTCAATACCGTTCTATAACTAAAGAATGATATATATGCTAACTGGCTAGAACTATGCTTTAACATAAAATGATTTCTTAGTGTTGTGACTAGTTAATATGATTCCTCTTGTTATGACTAGTTAACATGCTCTACTTATAAAAAAATAAAAAATAAAAAAAATTGACTAGTTAATATGCTTTCAGATACTTTTCATTTAAAAAGTTTAATTTCATGTGAAATATTTATTAGAAGTAAAGAACTTATTCCTATTATATGATTTTTGTCTAGGTTTTTGCTTTTTGCCACTGATGATGGAAACTCAAAGCCACTCAGAAGATACCGGGCAAAGAATTATGCTTCCACCACCAGCTGGAACTTTTGAAGATCGTGAAGTTCTTATCAAACATGTTCGTGACTTTGGCGCTAACCAAGGATATGTGGTGACAATTAAGAAGTCTAGGAAGGATAGAAGAGTTATACTTGGTTGTGACAGAGGAGGTGTTTATCGCAATAGGCGTAAGATTGAAGAAAGCAAGCGCAAAAGGAAAGCATGTTCACGCCTTATTAATTGTCCTTTTGAAGCCATAGGTAAGAAGGAAGATGACGCATGGGTACTTACAATAAAAAATGGTGAACACAACCATGAACCTCTAAGAGACATGTCTGAGCATCCTTATAGTCGTCGTTTTACTGAGGATGAGGTCAGGCAAATTAAACAAATGACTGAAGCTGGCATAAAGCCACGCCAAGTTCTTAAGGCTCTCAAGCAAAGTAATCCAGAGCTTCAGTCAACACCAAGGCATTTGTACAACCTCAAAGCTAAGATCCGTCAAGGACATATACCAGGTCAGACCCTTATCCAAATTTTATTAGATGAAATAGCTGATGGAGTGGCCTGAGTGCTGTAATATGTACCATCACAGCCTTTTGGTTGGATGATGCAGCTCGCAAATTGACCTTATGATTAATATGTTCTTCATACATGGATGTAAACTGCTTCTTGGTTAAGCAGCAAGATTTTCAGACTATACGAAACTTCATTTTCTCGCTAGTCCATTGCAAGGAAGAAAGTTTTTGCTTCATAAGGTCTACGATTAACTTGACTTCATACATCGATCATAAGCATCATACAAGTGGGACGGGTATCATTCATCCCTTTCGTTATGTTTTTATATGCCGGAACCTGAAATTGTAAATTTTATTTTTAATTTGATTTATGGTCAAACAGAAATGTTAATTTATTACCTATTGAAACTCAAAGAAGTGGCTTTAATAGTTATGGTCGAACTATGTAATTGGTCCCTTCCTCTGATCAATGTTTTCAGATACTTTTATATTATTTAAATATTATTCTCCCGGAGCCGTTTCTCAGCTCTTTGAAAATTGGGATAAAAAGAAAAATAGCGATTGAGTGGCATCTATATCAGTTCCAGTGATTTTTATTTTTAGTTTTGTTCTGTTGAGACTAAACGATAGCTGAATTGATGGATGGTCATTTCATAGTCCCATAGAGTGATCTTAAAATTACTAAATAATCTGTTGCAGTCGTAATTCTCTTTATGATGAAATGTGTCTTCTTTTTTTCCAGAGAAAAATTTTAATTCATGGAGACCTAATAGATCTGTTCCTATAAGTACATCTGCCGAGGCATATGCACAACAGAACTGTCCGGTAAGGTTTGATATGTAAGGAAAAAGGGTGCTGTAATTAAAATTATCCTTTCCTGGATAAAATCTCTTTTTCCCCTCCCTTGCTGCTCTATCAAATTTATCGAGGATTCAACTTTCTTTCTTTCTTTTTTTTCCTTCAAATTTTTTGGGCCTGCAATTCAATTATAGCTGAAGGTTCCGAATCTTATTGGAGGGAAATTTGTGGATTCACAAGCGTGTGCAATCGTTGATGTTATAAATCCTGTAAGCACATATATGCCACCAACTTTCAACTCTTTTTCTCTCTCCCTCCCACCCCGCCGAAGAACTATTCATGGCAGTGTAGTTTTTAATTGTATTCTCTAATTAGGCTACACAAGAGGTTGTTTCTCAAGTGCCTTTAACTACATATGAAGAGTTCAAAGCTGCAGTTAGTGCAGCCAAACAAGCTTTTCCTTCATGGAGAAACACATCTGTTACTACTCGTCAGCGTATTATGTTCAAGCTCCAAGAGCTCATCCATAGGGATATCGTAAGCGCCGTGGTTAATTTTTATATTCTGTTTATATTGAACTGACAATGTTTTACAAGCGTTAAAGAAATTTAACTTATTTTCAGGATAAGCTTGCCATGAACATTGCTATAGAGCAGGGGAAGACGATGGATGGTGCCAAAGGTGACGTCCTCCGTGGTTTAGGTTAGTACTTGCAAACATATCTGTCTTTTATCTTTTTTTCTTCCTTCATCTTACCATCCCTCCCCACAAAAAATGGAAAAAGAAAAAGAAAAAAATTCCAGAAGATTGATTAGAATCTGAACTGAAGTTATTTGACTGTGCTCCTTGTATTCTTGGTTTGCTTGTAGAGGTGGTTGAACATGCTTGTGGAATGGCAACTCTGCAAATGGGGGAGTTTGTTCCAAACGCATTTAGTGGAATTGATACGTATTGCATTAGAGAACCACTTGGTGTTTGTGCAGGGATATGTCCCTTTAACTTTCCGGCAATGATTTCATTATGGGTATGTCTGTTGTACTTGTCCTCATATCTTAAAATTTGTTTTCTGTTTTCCCTCTATTATTTGCACTCAAGCTTGGTACAGATTAAGACTTTTGTAACGATTTATCTTTTTGAGATGCTTTTGCATCACGCATTCGGTAATTCTCCAGAATAGGAGTGCAAATTTAAGATCAGGCTTTGGCTGAATAGTCTATATTCTGAAGTGGTTGCTAAAGAACTTTTCTGCCGTTTATATTTTATTTGGGCGCTGTAAGCTTTTCTTTTGTAATACATGAATGTGCACTTGGCTGAAGATACATGGCTGTGTTTACTACTGTACTGTACTTTTAGGAATATTTGTTTGAACTCTACAAAGGGGAAAGAACTAAGATATATATTTTTTCTTCTAACTACTTATTTATGGTTTCTGCAGATGTTCCCCATTGCAGTTACATGTGGCAATACATTTATTCTGAAGCCGTCTGAGAAAAATCCAGGTGATTGTCACCCCTTTTGATGTTTCTTCCATATATTCTTATCTAAAGATTTGGAAAATTAATGTGCATTTGGTGAGATACTGATATCCTTTTGAAAAAGTGCACTCGCTTGTACTTGATGCTGGTAGCTGGGATTGAGGTTTCAAAGGGGTGGCATATTAACCCGGGATGTTTAGTTTTAAATAACTACCATTGCTTGGGATAAGCTTTAAGCAATATTTTTAGGCTGGCAGCCAAACAAATTTATTTGGATAAGGAGACGTGTCCTACGCATGGCTAAAAAGAAATGTACCTTGTTTTTTTATTTTTATTTATTTTTTAGCTCTTTACACATTTCTTAGTGTGGCAGGCATTATGTGATTTGTTTTTCAACCACAGTTTTATGGTTACATATGGAACACATCTCTATAACTTCTCGTCTATCATTCTAATGTATTGTTATAGTTCTATTTTTGTTTCTACCTTTTATTTTTAATATTTATTTCATTATTTGGGCAGTATAAGGCTAGACGTGGGTAGGTATGGCAACAGGGGCGGGGGTACCCTCCCCCGTCCCCGCCCAAAACCTTTTAACAAAAGTCCGCTTCCACCTCGTCCCCGCCCAAAACCTTTTAACAAAAGTCCCCTTCCACCCCGTCCCCGCCCCCGCCCCCGTTTAATTTCCCCCGCCACCCCGTCCCATTTAAAATTCCAAACCCTGCAATAACGTCAAAGTACTTTAATCATTCCATGTAATTCACTGATTCGTTAAAACATGACATACATCATCATAGTTATAGGTATAACAAATAGATATATGTAAATGCATATAAGAACCATATATGTATATATGTGTAGGGAGAGAATCAATTTGGTAGATTTTGAGTTTGTAGTTAGAGGAAACTGGAAAGCTATGAAAATGGATAGGAAAAAGTCTCTCTCTGATTGCTTATGCAGAAGGAGAGTAAGTGACGGTTTGTGACTAATCTTTATATGATACAAGATCAGGGAAGATGCACATGTCGGATAGTCGCACTGGAGTGGTGGTGCCGGTGACAGTTAGGCTGACAGTGACAATGAGGGCCGTGAGGCTGAAGGAGCTCTCTCAATAGTGAAGAGACTCAAGACCGCTGATTTGAGAAACTAAAGGAATTAGGGTTTTTAGGGTATACAATGTATAAATACCAAGGGTTAAAGAGTAAATTCTCAATATAAACGGGGCGGGGACACCACTGAACCCCGTCCTCACCCAAAACCAATAAACGGGCATCCATAACTGGTTTAAACAGGGTGGGGCGGGGCGGGGTGGGGTAAATTGCCATCCCTAGACGTGGGTGCTTTTGGTTGTGCCATGGGATCATCCTGACGTGTCTCGAATAGTTTAATCATAAGTAAATGTTCTTCTCCCCTATTATTCTTGCCTTGAAGAATACCTGTGCTAATTGGTGTGGATAATGAGCTGGATTGGGCCTATCATGGTGGATACTAAACACCAACATTGCTAATAATTCTCAACTGTTGAACACAAAGTGCCAAAGTTTATCAATATTTTTTTGCTGCTTAAATTTATTCACACTAATTGTAGTAAAGGTTGTAGGCAATTTATGAATGTTAACTGTACTGCATGTTGTCAATATTCAGCTTTTTTATTAGTAGGAACACACTACTGAGAAAGTCCTTTTTCTCGATTTTCACCAAACTTGTGCTTCCAATTTCATTGTCTCATTGCATTGCGATTTTAGGAGATGATAATTTATGTAATGATTATGATTTGGGTTAAAAATTAAGTTGATTCAGAGCCCTCACTTAGCAAGTCATCTTAAGTTTGGCTAAATGATAGTTATGAACAAGAGTTTCATTAAAGTTGTCACCAGTAACTGGAATTTTTCACGCAAAAAAAGTTTCTATTAGAGTGTCCTCAGCAACAAAGTTGTTTGAAGTGGTGTCTAATAGATAATAAATTATGAACAAGAGTTCATTGCCACCATTATGCTCACATTTCATACTAAATAGTAGCCATTAGAAAAGTTGCCTTCAGTAAAAATTTTGACGGGGTTAATCTTTTGGGCCAGGCCATGCATATCATCTAATTGCTTAAACCAGAGACCAGACCTTTTCCTAATCATAATTTTGTTTTCTTTTTTTTGTTATCTCTGTTCATAGTGCCTACTAATAATATTATGGAAAATGGGAAATGTTTTATTTTATTTTTTGTTTGCACACGGATAACATCATACAAAGATATGATTTCCAGAGTGACAAAGCATACTTCATCATTCTAATGTATCTTAGGCATGACCCCTGCAATATTACATGGATGACGGGTCAGGTTTTCAGAAAAAAATAAAATAAAAAAAAGAAGAAAAAAAACGAAGAGAAAAGTAAAGAAAAGATAGGGTAGGTTATCAGATAGAAGAAAAAGATAGTACAGGTTTTGATTTTACATTATGTTGCAGGCATTTTGATCTTTATGTTTCCTGCTACAAAAGCACCTGCCTATTTTTCATTAGCCATTTAATTTTGGCATTTTTTTGGTATGTAGCATGCATTTTCATCTTTATCTTCTTTTACATTTTTTTCATCAGTTACCTGTGTTGCTGCAGGGGCTTCAATGATACTTGCAGCATTAGCAATGGAGGCTGGTTTACCCGATGGGGTCTTAAATATTGTTCATGGCACCAATGTAAGTTTTTCTTCTAGGCAGCTGCAAATTTTACCGTACATGACCATAAGAAAACTATTAATTAGAATTTAGATTAAAGGATTTTGTTGTAAGCTACATTTTCTTTTTTCAATATTATGATCTTTAAACTTTTATCAGGAAAAAATACAAGAAAAAGGCGTTTTATAAAATGTCTTTCCATTTTTTTGCTTTTTTTTTTTTTTTTTTTGGTTTTAATATATACCTTTATCTCTGAGCAGGAGATTGTGAACCATATTTGTGATGATGATGATATAAAAGCTGTATCATTTGTTGGTTCAAATACAGTAAGTTAATCCCACTGATTTTTGTAAATTATGATTAGAATTATACACACATGTTTATACACGTACATTCACACAGACATTAAATTTGTTGAGGCTTTCATAAATTATCAGAATCCAGAATATCAGATTCTCGTTTTACCCGATTTTCAGTTTCTAGTGCGGGGCTAATAATGGAGAGAAATATAATATTTTTCTATTGAATGGGGGCATCATTCTACATTGACAAACAATTTATTGTGCTTTTTCTGAAGAACTACATTTGTTTACTATTTGTAATTGTTTTATAGACTGAAAGAGTATCTACAATAACAGTAGTGCTTTTTTAGCTGTTGGATGTGAGTTAATATCATTGAACTGGTAGTTTCAAGGGACTACCAGTGGAAAACGACTGAACATAAGAAGCTTATGACATGGTGTTCCATATGCCAAAATTCTACACCCTCACTACTGATCACTGAGAAATAAAAGTGTGTTTTCTGTTTCCATTGTAATATGTTTAAGTATAGTCATCTTATACTTTTTATTGAACTTTTAAGTTAGATTATTGGCATTTTGGCAAGTTTTTATATATTTATGGTGATGTTGTGGTCCGAATTTGGTGCCAAGTCGCAACTTTGGGGGTGCTGTTTTTTGCTTGCAGGTCGTGGACCCTATTTAGTACTCTCTTGTAGCCCCATATATAAGGGTGCGTAGTGTTTGGAGTGGGATTATTGAGACACTGAAAATCGCAGAAAAGAGAGTGAGAGCTAGGGTTTGGGGGGCTGAAACTTGTATCTCCAGATTTTCGCACAGTGAATTTTCGCCGAATCTTCACTGTGAATGTAGGCTTTGCCGAACCACGCAAAATCTGTGTTCTTTGTGTGTGGCGTGTTTGTTTTCTGTCGTGTTTCTTGGTTGTTTCTTGGGTTCACTACGTTTGTCGTAACCTTTATTTAATTTTTTATTTTGTATATAATTTCCTCTATTCACCTGGTTCAAGGCTGGCATGCACATATATGCCAGGGCAGCAGCTGGAGGCAAACGTGTTCAGGTGAATTCTGTTTCATTTGCCTTGGACCAGGCTCTGTTATGGCTAAATTTAATTAAGAACTCCTGTTTTACTTATGTTAGTTTGATAATTTTTATTGTGCTCAAATCCTTAGTCCAATATGGGAGCCAAAAATCATGCTGTTATCATGCCTGATGCAAGTGCTGATGCTACTCTGGATGCTTTGGTTGCTGCTGGTTTTGGTGCTGCTGGACAGAGGTGCATGGCTCTCAGCACTGCTGTTTTTGTTGGAGGTTCCATCCCATGGTATAATAGTTTTTTCATTTACTTCAACCTTTTTAGTAGAGGCAATTGCTTAGTACAGCAGGCTCAATTCTGGGCAGCCACCTTGCGCAAATAATGCCAAAGGTTAAGTCTATCTAGTTCACCTCTCCTACAGTCTCAATTAATGGGGACCACAATGGGTAATGGACTTGAAACTTTTTGGTATCTTGTTGGCATTTTGATATTTTTTGGTCAAGTATATAACCTTTTTTTTTGGTGTTGAGACCTGAGGGGTCATAGCTTATAATCCCCTTTACATACTATTTATTTTCAACTTATCCTGTTTTATTCTAGTTATTTATAAATTATCATCACGGTTGTCAAGCAGATGTTTCTTCTTCTTCTTCTTCTTCTTCTTCTTATTCTTCTTCCTCTCTCTCTGTTTTTTTTTTTTTTTTGTTGTGTTGGGGTAGGGCGAGGAGTTCAATAAGTTTCACACAACTTTTCTAAGTTTTACAAGTATTTCCCGCTCAAGTTTATCATTAGTTCATTTCACCCGTTCTGATCTCAAATTAGGTACAATTTTCACAACATTGAGGTGAATTTTGAGTCATGTTGGGTATATCTCTCTGTAGGGCTTGGTATGAGATGATAAGTGAAGCTAGGTTTAGCTTTCGATTCCACCTTGAGTTTTCTTTAAACTGTTGCAAGTTAAACCTGTGCATTAGGTACAATTTTCACAATTTTAAGGTGAATTTTAAGACATGGTGCATACATACCACTCTGTAGGGCGTGGTATTAGATGATAAGTGAAGCTTGGTTTAGCTTTTGACTCATTTGAGTTTTCCTCTCTCCTGGCTTGCAAGTCCAATCTGTGGAGACCTTTTTCTTCTGTAATTTACATTAGGTTCTATGCCGAGAAATAATATAATTTCTTCCATTCGATATAAAATGACTTTTACTTTTGAGTTTTGAGGGACTAAAGTTGCTGGTCAATGAAGCGTAAATCAATTATGTCTTAGGAATTTAGGTTACTGATGCACATAAATATCTAACATGAACAGTGATACTCTATTTCTCCAGGGAAGAAGAACTTGCAGACTGTGCCAAAGCACTTAAAGTAAATGCAGGAACAGAGTCTGGTGCAGATGTTGGACCAGTTATTAGTAAAGAGGTGCTAACATATTTAGAAAATTTCATCAGTTTGTATGCCTTATTCATTGAGTATAAATGGTAATCCTTGGGTACATGAGGAGCCACATTTTGATTGCTTAAAATACGGTTTGGGGTCAGTTTGATATCATCTGTTCATTTTAACTATTTGGTTACTTCTGGAAAACTGTGTTATAATTTGGTTATTTGATGTACTTTCCGAATTCATAGGCAAAGGATCGAATATGTAGATTAGTTCAGAGTGGTGTTGAAAGTGGTGCGAGACTTGTTCTTGATGGGAGAAACATTGTGGTACGTGTTGTTGTTGTTGTTTTTTTATTTTTTATTTATTTATTTATTTTTACTGTTATAAATGTATACATTTTTAGGCGTTACCAAATCTCGTTGTTGATTTCATAAAATCTGCTTGAACATATTCTGTAGGGCATATGCTTTTATTGAATACTAAGTACAGACAACTTTCTTGTATTGATGTTTGATGTTGTTCCTTACATCAACTTCATTCTATTGTCAAAACTCTGCAAGGCATGCTTTGAAATCTTTCTGTGGTCTAGGACAGAAAACAGATTTAACCGGTTAAGAAGATGTCACCATGATCATGAGTAGAGGAGGAGAATGATGGGATTTTACTTCTTATTGGCCCAAGCTCTTGGAAAACTGGAGTATTTCATATAAAATATGTGGCATGAAATAACATGCTGCACAATCAGATACTAGTTTTAACATTCTAGACATTGAGTGATAATGTTTGGTTTATCCAATAATTTCTAGTACAATCATATTATAGCGTTTATCATTTGATGTATGTGTGCAGGGGTGAGTTGATAATTTTAAAATTGACACGTGACTATGACATGTAATATGTTTTGCCTACAGCTCTTTATATTTTTCTTTCTATTGGGATTTCTGAGGTTTTTTTGTTTTCCTTGGCTGCAACAAGAAACAATTTTCAAGGATACGTTAAAAAAAAGAGGCTTTGCTTGGGGATTGGGGTTGGGTGGTGGAAGGTTGGAAAATTATTGAAACTGGAAGTTGTGGTGAAAGGTTGGAAAGTTCAAGAAAAAATGTTATATGGAACATAATGGACTCATTCTAAATGGGGGGCTTCGTCCCCGAACATGCTCTGGGAATGTTTTAGTACGTTTAATATGTAATGAACTTGCAATATGCTCAACTTTCCCATGTAGTGTTATGCCATTTGTTCTTTTACTACATTTGAGCACTCGAGATTTTTTTGTAAAGAATTTATTTTGACAAAAAAAACAAAAAAAAAAAAAAAACGGTTGAAATCATTCGGTATAAAGGAATCATGCTGTAAGATGATCCTATAAGTTTACAGATTGTAGGGACTTCTGTGTTTAAAGGATTAAGACTCTTAACTGCTGCAAATTTTATAAATTGCACTTAGGTCAAATGTTATGAGGTGTATAATATGCTTCATACCCATCGGAAGTCCAAAGACCTTCTTCTTGTTGAATATGGGCTGAAGTTGGCATCACATTCAATACCCTATTATCTTGTCTCTCTCTTCCTCCTTTTTTTGCAACATTGCTTCTGCTCATTGGTTTAAAAATCTTGGACTTCTCTCTTTTTCAATATTCTGGAGCTTGGCCCATTTTTCAGCCTTTTACAACTTATACTTTCTTCTATAGGTTCCAGGGTATGAGCATGGAAACTTTGTGGGTCCTACTATCTTATGCGATGTTACAACCAACATGGAGTGCTACAAGGTTTCTCCTCTCATGCTTGCAATGCTTATATTGTATTTTCAGAATGAGCAGACGAATATTTTACTCTTCTCAGAAGGAGAAAAGTTGAACGAAAAACCTTAGCACATACTTGACAGTACTTTGTGTTTTGTTGGCAGGAAGAAATCTTTGGACCAGTTCTCCTTTGTATGCGGGTACTGCTAAATTAGTGATAGATTCTTTTCTGTTAATTAATTTAATTGCTTAAGCAGGAGATTGGTTAACATATTCTCTTTCTTGATTACAGGCTGACAGCCTAGAAGAGGCCGTAACTATTGTTAATAGAAACAAGTAAATGCCTTAACTCTTATTTTTCTTACTTCATATGGTGGCCTTTGTGTGTTTGTAACATGTATTATGCAATATTTATTACCTTTTTTATAAAAAAAAACTGAAATGGAGAATGATTGATATGGTTGATATTATTTTTTTCATGAACCATATTTACCCTCTTCCTCTTTCCTTAATATTATAAATTTAAATTTGTCATAGATACCATTTTCTGTTATCTATTGACATTTTTTCTTTTAACAATACATCAAAATGCTTATGGCTGCAAAGAGTTGAGCTGAGCCGAGCCAAGCCAATCTTTGATTTGTTCGGGCTTGGCTCTCCAATGTGAGAGATGTGTTTGAGCTCAAGCCGGGCTTTTAACAGGTGAAGCCTGAGCTGTTCGTGAACAGCTTGGTTCATTTGCAGTCCTAGACATGTATATTCAATGTTTGCCTCCACAGAGCAGAATCTCTTGAAATACTTTTGTTGTTTTATGATCTCGTGTTGTTACAGGCATGGAAATGGAGCTTCCATATTCACCACATCTGGTGTAACTGCAAGGAAGTTTCAGAATGAAGTTGAGGCAGGGCTGGTAGGCCATACTATTTCTTCTGGCTTGTAGATCCAAGAATTATTTTAGCCTGTTTATGCTCAAACTCCGTAATTTGTGTTTCTTGTAATGAACTGGGATTGACTCAGGTTGGGATAAATGTCCCTGTTCCAATTCCATTGCCATTCTCCTCATTCAATGGATCCAAAGCGTCTTTTGCTGGTGATCTCAATTTCTGTGGTATAATCTTTTGGTGCTCTCTCTCTCTCTCTCTCACACACACACACACGCACACAGATGATTCCATATTTCTCCCCTGAAGAATAAACCCTAAACAGCAGCCAGACATTTTATTTTATTTTTTCAAAATTTGTTCCTGAATTGCAGGGAAGGCAGGGGTACAATTTTACACGCAGATAAAAACGGTGGCACAACAGTGGAATGACTTACCAAGCCGAAGAGTCACACGACCTCTCCCTCCAACATCTGAGACAGAAATTACTAGTCGAGGAGTGTCCCTACTGCAGCCTATAACATCCGATAGCGATTTACCTAGCCGAGAAGTCTCTTCAGCATCTGAGAGGGATTTACCAAGCCGTAATGTCTCACTGCCCTTGCCTCCAACATCTGAAAGGGATTTGCCAAACCAAGGAGTGATGCCATCGATGCATCCAGCAATGGATAGGGGGTTACTTAACCAGGGTGTGTCACTAAGTGTGATTTCAACATCTGAGCGGGATTCAGCAGACCAGGAGATGTCACTAACTATGCCTCCAGCAAGTGAGAGGGATTTACCAGGACAAGGAGTGTCATTTTCCATGCCTCAAACATCTGAGAGGATCAATGTACCTCAAACGTCACAGTGGGATGAACCTCTACCAGTAACATCTCTAAGGAAGGAAACCATTCTGCCAACTTCTGAAAGGATTTCTTTGCCATCAACATCTAATGATAACATCGCTCCAACATTTCAAATGATGGACAGTGGTGTGGCTCCAACTTCTGAGAGGGTATACATGCCTACATCTCGCAGGAATGACATTATGGGTCCAATGTCTCGCAGAAATGACAGTATGGTACCAACAACTCAAAAGACTGAAACCAATGGATGTCCAACTTCCGAGAGAGTATATATTCCTCCAATATCTCACAGGAATGAAAATGTCAACCCAACGTCTCAAAACTCGGTCATGCACCCAAGCTCCGAGAGGTTATACTTGCCGACATCTCTCAGGAATGACAGTATAGGTCTAATGTCTTTGAGGACTGACACTCCTATTCATCCAGCTTCTGAGAGGATGTACCTGTCAACAACGTCATACAGGAATGACAACATGGTTCCGTCACAAAGGACTGCTTCTATGACTCCAAATGCTGAGAAGATGTATATGCGTTCAGCAATGCAGAGGAATGACCGTATGCCACCAACATCTGAGAGGTTATACGTTCCTATAAATCTTCAGAGGATGTATGCTCAAACCCCAATAGTATCAATGGATGAATATCCTGGCCAAGGAGTGTCGCTGACTTTGCCAACATCTAAGAGGTCATGAGATTCAACTCATAGGCTATTTAGTTTTTTCTTTTTCTTTTTCTTTTCTTATCTAAGGAAGTATTCAGCCCTTCTGTTTCTTTTTGGTAAATAATTAGGGAACTCTAGTCGGTGAACTTACAAATGGCAGAAAAAAGTTGTTTTCCACCACCACACCCCCCCCCCCCCCCCCCCCCCCCCCTCTTTATAAACTTATATTAGAATGTGTTTCTTGCTTATTTAATGTCTCAGAGAGCTCATGGCAAAATGTTAGCCCTTCTTATCATTTACTACGTGACCAAGATGCTTCTTCATTTTCTTCTGGCCATTTTGGGCATATTGTCATTGGGTAGACATGTTTCTGAGGCTGATTTGGTTCTCTCATCACTGTGCAGCAAACTATATCTGTGAAGAGTAGCGTTGCTATAAGTTGCATCTAGTGTAGGTATTTCTTAATTGTCGAAAATAATCTTCGAGGAGCATCGATACCCATCTTGGGAAAACGACATTGTTCTTTCATTGATGCTTGTGAAGGATAAACCTAATTTATTTTATTTTATTTTTTTGGGTGTGAATTGGCACGTAAGTTTCACTTGGGATGAATTTCTCCACTCTCCACTGTTTATTCCATAGTTTTGGAATGTTGAAGAATACAAGTCATGCGTGGAACAGATGAACAAATATTTTAATGTCAGAAGCATAGTTGATTTAGTGACACAGTTTCAGTTGCTTGCAGGGTCATTTGCTGGAAGTTTATTTAGCTGAAGAACAAGAAATTAACCATTTCCTTGTGTCAAGTTTATTTGGTTGACTGTTAAATTGATTGAAATATACGAAGGGAGGAGATAACGTGATACAAAAAGTATAAGGAAAAATGAAGCAGCAGCAACTTCATTTGTTGGTGAGGCTGCCATTGCGTCTCCAGATTGGAGCTGAACAAGGTGCTTCAAATTGTTTTCATTATACGCGATTTCTATGCTACCAAACACCAAGTAATTGAAGCGTACTATGAAAAGAAAATGTGGATAACATTGCCTAAACGAAGCAAAAGTGGGTTGGGTTGAGGTTGTGCTGTAAATTAATCCAACTGTTCAGGAAGTTTGTATTCTTGTTTAGTAAAAATGAGTGAAACTCTAATAATATTTTCGAATTAAAAATCAGTGGAACTAATAATATCTTCGAACTCATTCACTCATTAGAGTCTGTGTACATATTTTATTTATGGATAAATGTTTGCGAGCATGCCCGTCTATTAGAACTCAGTTTGAATTTATAATAAATAAAAAAAAATTTAATCAATCTTGATTTCAATTTCTTTTTTAATCAATCTTGGTCTCAACTCAAGCTCAATTTGAATTAAACATTTGAGTTGAACTCAAATTAAATTAACTTGCGTAGAAGGTTTTATACCTTTGATTAATTTGTCCATTTGTTTAAGGGATATTCCGGTACAAATTTTTTTTTTATTTTTTATATGAAAGATTACGCCTATTCACGAATCGAATCGAATCAGCATTCGATTTGTTTAATTGTGGATTATCGGATTCGAATCACTGACATGTTATTGGATTGAATGTTTCAATCCATTTGTCGAATAGAATGTTATTAGATTAAAATTATATTCGTTGACATGTATAATTATATAAAATGTAGAATTATAAATATATAAAATGGTGCATAATATACTAAACAATGTAATAATACTCTACCCAATATAATGATAAATAATTAATTTAATATGTATAACATTGTATTGAAATATACTAATATATATATATATATATAATTTTAATTTGAATTGAATTATTTATAATGCATATTCGTTAAGATAACATATTAACGAATTTTAATCATTATTACACGGTTAAATCTGTATCATAATAATCGGCACAAATTTTGTATTAGAATCCTATTGACAGGTCTTCTAAGGAGAAAACAAATTTTAACAAGCACCTACTCTCTCATTTTACTTAGAGGTTATTAAATCATTCAATACAAGAACACTAGTGGAACGAAGCGTAAAAGAAACGGAAGAAAAAAGGGACACAGAGTGAATTCTAAGAAGTGTGTGTGAGAAGAAGAATGCAATGTGCGAACACTTCCTGGGTATCAACCATTCATCTGCCACTCATCAAAGCATCAAATTCACAGACCAAATTGCCATTTTCCCAAACAAGAGCTCAACTTCCTAGGAGCCCTAATGCTTATGATGATGATGATGATGATGGTGAGAGTTCAGTGGTGACCATTCCTCTGCCTTCTCATTTGAAATCCATCACAAGCACATCAAACCCATTTGTGAAACACTGCCTCAAGCTTCGACACAGCTCTTCGTATCGCCACTCTCATGCTTCAGCTCTTGTTGTTGGCACTACCCCTATAAGGTCTCGATGTTCTCTAATCCTCCTTCATTTGAATTTTTTTTTTTTTTTTTTTTGGGTTCTTTACAATTATTATTTTATAACCCACTAATTCAAATTAAAATGGGTCTCTGCTATTTATTGCCCTTTGTATTCATATATTTTAATGAATCTTTCCTTAGCTATGCTTATTGATTAGACTGGATGTGAATTATTTTTTTAGCTCTATATATGTTATATACTCTTTCAGCGAGAAAAAAATTGAAGTTTGGTATGTTAAATTTGGCAAATTATTGTTTTTTTTTTTTTTTTTAAAAAAAAAAGGTTGTGGGATGGACATTTGGGTTCAAAATTTTAGTCTGTGGTTATGATTTGGTGCAGAGATGGTGATTCATTATTAGTTCATCATGGGAAATTTGGGGGAATTGTGAAGCTATAACTAGATTATATTTGGAAACTTCCACATAGGTTTATTCATTTGTAAATGTTTTGAGTTTTTCTGCGTTGAATTAGTGTTGAAGCTATTTTTGGTCAAAGTCGAGTACTAGTAGCATGTGTTCTGAAAAAAAAGGAGCTGTTATCCATATGGATAAATTGTATTTCATTTGTTTATTTAAATATATACATTGATTATGCCCTCTAATGGTCAGAAATCTTCTACACATGGGGTTTGTGAAAATATTATATACCATTAGTTTCAAAGTTCTTTTCCGCATTTCCTTTCATGAATTATTTCTTAATTGATTTACTTGTGACTGTAATTGACCAATATGAATCCCTTAAGCAGTGGGAAAAGAAAACAAATGCTATATCTGTGCGTATAGAAGCATTTTTGCTATGTAAATAATGATCAGATTTTCAAAAAGATCATTATTCAGCAGTTTTCAAAACCTTGAAAAGTTTTATCTATTATATACAAGTGAAAATGATTGAGTCCTGCAGTTTAGTTAAATGATGGCTTGAAGATTGGAATGGGTTCTTCATTCTAGACTCTAATTTCTATGGATGGGTTGAGTCTTAAATTGCAATTGTCCAGATGAATGTATCAACCAGTGTTTTGGTCAAAATTTCTGTTTACCTGTTCTATAGCCCACCTCTTCTATACAATGCCAGCACGAAGGGGAAAAAAGTTAACTAGGATACAGGAAATAATGCTCTTCAGATAGTACAGGCTATCTGTCTATAACCTTGATACTACTGTGAAGACAGTTAGAATGTTAATCGGGTTGTAACCTTATCAAGACACATTCTAGTATCCTTATTATTGGTCATATATATTTGTCACATAGTGTACAGTAGCTACTTTCCACAAACATTTTATCTTTGCTCTTCTTTGATTTCCTTTTCAGTTTTTTCAGTGTGTATGGTGTGCCGTATGTAATATCCATCATTCCATTTGTTTATTAGTTCTTTTCATTCCTCTGTTGAACTTATAGTGTAGCAGTCAAGTGTCTATAAGATAGCCTATTTCATTGTTTTCATCTTTGATTTTCTACCCTCTCCCCTCCCCAAAAGCCTCTAGGCTGTAAAGAATATCGAGTTCAAGGAATTAATGATGAAAAGGAGAATGCATGAATTGTATATAATTTAAGGGCAATAATTTTTCATTATGACATTTTTTCTTCACAGGGAAATATGCAGGTTTCAAGGATCAATGCAAGAGAGACGTGCTGTGATAGATTGTTTACTTCTACTTGATAAAGCTGAGATTCCTGAAGGGTTGAATGATCTCCCTGTTCGTCTTGTTCGTGTTAGCGCAATGGTAATGAAGAAACTTTCTGGAATGCAATCAACTGAATCTATTGAAGCAATCGCTCTAATGAGAATCCCTTCAAGTTTTCGTAGTTTAGATGACAACCAGCAAGACACAGATTGTCGAAGGTGGTTTCCATCTCCACGTCGAACTTTAGTTCTTGATGGGATCCAGGTAATTCTCATACTTATCCTTCACATATATTATTATGGGCACACCTTATTGTTTATATTCTTCTGTAAAAGGTTTGCAAAAGGACATTAGTTTAAGTCTCTTGTGGTCGTCCACTTCATGATGGTTTCTTGGAATTGCTTAAAAGCAGCTAGTTGTAGGTTCTGGTGGTGCTTGCTTCTTAAAAATTTCATTAACCTTTGAATATACACTTTTCCCATTTTGTTCTTTGACTTGGGGAAAAAAATAATTATAAAGAAAAAAGAAAACACTGATCATTTACCAATAAAGCATAAATTTCTTAGTTGGACCAACCTGTCACTTTAAGGACTGGAGTTGAATTGAGATTTTTAACATCTGCGTCCATGTTTTCTCTATGTATTGATACCATGAAACAATTTCCACTGTTTAAGATAATAATCTCATAAGACTAAGACCACAACATAGATGCTGTGGTTTACAGTAATTAAAAGAAAATTCCATTACTTCATGTAGTCATGCTCAGCAGTGCAAATTTAATGACTAAATTTAGTGGCTGAGGCCATGACAGCTTGCCAAGCAATTTTGTAAGCTATAGGATTGGGATTGCCTACTGTTTCCTTTGAAGTAGATTCCTATGCGGTAATCAGTGCAGCTATGCGGACAGGTTCACCATTCCACTGGTATTTTGCTGAAGATGTTAGGCAGTTGCTTAAATCTTCAGTGAATTGGAAGTTACCCCAGACCCCAAGACTTTCAAATGGCCCATTGTGTGTCAAGATTCAACTTCTCTGGGTCTTTGTTTCTTTGTGAGATTCCTCAGTTTGTTCACAAAGCTTTGGAGTGGGATGTCACTTCCGCCCGTTTTTTATTTAGCCTAAACTGCCTTTGCCTTTTATTTTGGTTTTTCTTGCCCTTCTGCTCATGTATGGTCCAACAAAAGAAAAAAGACTGCTTTATCAGAAGGCTATAAGTGCATTCCAATCTATTGTCACGTACATTCTTTACATTCATATTATTAATTCCTGAGAATTGTTCATTGCAGGACCCGGGGAATCTTGGCACATTACTTAGGTCAGCGATGGCCTTTAGATGGGTAAGGAATGAGTTGCATTATTTACAATTATCTTCGATTTTTTCTTTTTCATCTTTTCTGTTTTCAAATTCTTCTTTTTTTTCTACTTTTATCTTTTCGAAAGTTATCGCACGTTACTGAAATTTCACTTAATGCGTTATGCATATCACAACCTCCAAGCCAGATGGTGAATCATAATATTTTCACCAGCGAATCAGCTTAATTGATGATCCCAACTATTGTTGGTGGTTTGTTATTTGTTGACCAATAACCAGTTTCCGTCAGCTGTATGAAAAATGCTCTTGAACATATACGTAAACTTTTCGGATATTAATTATGATATTTTTGAAAATTAATTAGTGACAGTTCATTAAATTCATTCTCTCTACATTTAATGCTTCACTGGAATTAAGTGTTGCTCCTTTTGCAACTTAATCAACCCTTGTTCTTCGATCATATGTATCCCATTCTTCGTTGAAGGAATGGGACAGAGGTATCAGTGACGTACTGTGATATTCAATATATTTCTACAGCCTTCTGCCCAAGTGAAGTGTCCCTCCACGCTACACCCCAACTTCTTCCCCCCAACAAAAGGGGAAAAAAACTTAAATTAATATGGTGTTTGTACCAACATCCACAACAGGGTGGTGTCTTTTTGCTTCCTGGCTGTTGTGATCCATTCAACGAGAAAGCCCTCCGAGCTAGCCGAGGAGCCTCCTTTCAGCTTTCTATAGTTTCTGGCAGTTGGATTCATCTACAAGCTCTCAGAAATGAATTTCACATGAAGATGTTGGCCGGCCACCCAGAGAGCAATGAAGATTTGAAGCCAGTGTCTCGGCTTTGTCAAGGGCTTGCAGATTCTTTAGCAGATGCATCATTGTGCTTGGTTTTAGGCAGCGAAGGGGGTGGCATTTCAGAGATGACTAAGCAAGTATGTGAGCTTGTAAGCATTCCAATGGCAGGAAAATTTGAATCTCTCAATGTTTCTGTTGCGGGTGGAATCTTCTTGTATATGCTACAGCCTGAGAACCATAAAAATTCCTGAAGCAAATTGAGACAGGTACAACTTTACTGAGTTTTAGTTTATATGTAGATATATATACATATACATGTATGTATTTATATATTGAACCTACCCACCTCCAATGAAATTCATTGTCTGAGCCTAGTATATGCGTGTGTGTGTTTGTGTGTGTATGAACCAGCACAAACAGAAAATGGGCATGGAACATGATTGGGTGGCCGAAAATGCAAGCTGAATGGGGTGCTCCCCATTCAACCGGCCAGCTTATCTCTACTCAGTGGGTATTAATTGTAACTGAATATTACTTTAGAATGAGACTAGCCAGAAAGAAGGCAGAGAAAGCAGATGATGGTTGTGGTTCTTGGTGGTGACGGTGACGAATTTAAAGAATAGAGAGGACGGAGAAATGAAAAGTATAGAAGCGCTTCAACCCATTATGTTTTGCACGTTACTCATTACACATTACTCCATTTGTCGTGAAAAATAAAAGAATTCATCATTTTTCTTTGTTTTCTATATGTTCCTTCATAGATGTCTACCTTGCAAGTGTTTTCAAGTTTTTTAGATCATCCCTTTTCTTTTTATAATACAGGTGGATCTAGACAACCACATTATCACTTTGGAGGATTCCCACAGGTGAAGTTCTTGGAGGGGGCTTTTGAGTATGTGGAGTTAATTTACCTAGACTAACCGGTGTTAGACAAGAGGTAATCTAGTGACGAGGATATCGAGCTTTCAGAAGAAGGAAGAAAAGAATATGCTGATGTTTTAGTGGTGGGAGGAATAGAGCACAATACATTTGGTTGTGTAAGCAATATATCCAACGGTTAAGCAAATCCAAGTTTTTTTTTTTTTTTTTTTTTTTTGTCATCTGGGCTTGCAAATCCAGGTCTTAACTTGCTAAGCTTGGATGCCTATTCAGATTGATTTCATTGCGTAAATTGAATATCACATTTGGTAGTGTAGAATTTACTCAGAATTCGAATTTGTATTTTTCCTAATTCCAATTTCAAACATTGACCCTATACTTCCAAAGGAATCATTCAACCTACTAAGCAAGGGTTTGCTGATCATATTTGCTTGCAGCAATTCAACTTCTTCTAAAAAAAAAAATTAATAATAAAAAAAAAAAACTGAAGGATGTTACTTCCTCTATGGGGAATTGTGAGTGCAAGGGTGTTTCTTGTCAATATACATTTGTATTTTTATCAGAAAATAATTTTTTTAATTCGATTTAATTCACATCAACTTATATTAGAGGAAGATGTACAAAATAAAAATAAAAATAAAACAAAAATGGAAGAAAACTTAATTCAATAATTTATTATACCAAGTTCAATAAACAAGAATAATATAAGTAGGTTTCACTATATGATTAGTCCATATCCATCCAATGATGATATATTAAGATGTAAAACCCTGATACCACAACTCGAGAATTAAAGATAATGCATTGAAAGAAAAATGTAAGGAATGAGTTTTGAAAACTGATTAAAATGTTTGAGAAAATGGCCTTTTTAAAAAAAAAAATTAGCCATTTAAAATGTTTCAAAGGCAGAAGGAAGATGGGCCATTTAAAATGTTTCAATGGCGGGAAAGATGGCACTATTGGCGTTGCTTATTACACTCACTCATTTTAAAAACTGAGAAGTTTCATTCGCAATTGTTACTCTTATCTGTCTATATAGATTATTTGATGGACTATTAAGATACATTATCATTACTAATTAAAATTAAATTATTAATACTTTTCATCTAAATATATACATATTTACAAACTAAATGTTTTAGAATCCTAAGACTCTTTATAACACTCCATACTTCTAATCTTTTATATTATTGAAATGAAAATGTATAAGATATAATAGAAGAAAAATAGTATTTGTGTCGTCGAATTTTTAATGACGAATTATTAAGAAATATATATTCTAACATAATTTGTATTCGTAATTTTTTTATTTGTTTTAATATCAAAATTTTATACATTTTTTTAAACAAAAAAACGAATTATATCCTTATGTTTACCAACAGGCATTTTCCTACTGTAGTTTACTATAAGTATCTACACCATCTTTTTCTCCTTTCTAAGAGCATTTCCAATGCAATGCTAAAAGGGCTGTCATTTCTAAAATATAGCAAAAGGACTTCAAAAGGGGCTCTCCAATGCAATGCTAAAAGGGCTGCCAATTTTTAACTTTGCCAAAAATTTTGCCAATTGTAGCACAAGAAATAGCTATTGCTATTTCAGAGAGAGAGAGAGATAGAGAGAGAGGCGGGGGTTCAAATTTGGCATATATATATATATATATATATATATATTTTTAAAAAAGATCATAAAAAATTTCACCAATGCTGGAGAGAAGAGTGAAGAGATGGTGTTGGAGAGAAACAAAGATTAATTTCGTCGGAATCCATGGAAGCCACGGTTGCCAATGACGATGTCTGTGAAGCAGTAAACTGCTAAAGAGAGAGGAGTGTAGAGATGGCATTGGAGAGAAACATAAAAAATTTCGCTGGAATCGAAATCCATGATCTCTGATCATTTTTATTTAGAGATTGTCTTTGTTCTGGCAAAGGCATTGAAAGATAATGTGAAAGGATGGAGAAAAGCTGAAAAGGTGGAGAGGATAAATTTGGGGTTGTCTGTTTGTGATAAGGTGATGAGTTGTTAACTTCTTATTGGTTATTTAGATTTTATTTGACACCATCAGCAACAGAGTCCATAAATCATTTTGTTTTATTTTATTTTATTTTTTTTTATCCTTTTTTGATCAAATATTTTAAATTTTTGCTTCTTTTTAATTAGATTTAATTTTAGTTTCTTTCGAATATCTACAACTTTACTTGGAATGTGCCTAATATTAATATTACTGATGCAAATAAGAATGGTGGGAATGGTAGTTGGAAAAAAATGGTGATTATGTCAAAAAATAGCATTTTGCATGCATGAAATGCACCATTGGGACATAATTGCTAAAATATAACATTTTGACACTGTAACACTTGTCAAAATATAAATTTGACATGTAAAAATGACTTTTAGCATTAGAGGTGCTCTAACATCTTTATAATTGGACCATTTGCTCTTCGAAGCCTAAATCTCATGTAACGACGAAATTCTTCACAATGGACCATACTTCTTTTGAGGCTTTACAACATAAATGCCTTTTTTTATTTTTCTTTTTTATTTTTTTTATATATATTTTTTAAGGATTCTAACCTTTTTATGGTCACATGCAAATATTAAATTAACGTTAAATGGGTATACAACTATGCATGACCAAGGGCCCAACAGGCCCAGATCAAAGATTCAAGATTAAGCTCCGACAACACCCAGCCCGAACACTAACAAGTTAGCATGGCGTACGCGCTTGAATGAACGCGTGAAGGAAAACACCAACGGAAGTCACATGGCTGTGGCTTCGTTATTTATTGCTATGTCTACAGTCCACTGGCAAAACCAAGAACAGAACTTCAAAGTTCTCAATAATTTTTTAAATTCGCCGGAAACCACCACATGCGGCAAATTTTTCCGGCTATGACGGCGGCGAAGCCTCCACAGCCACAGTCTGCCATTGCCGTCTGCTCCCTACAAGGATCGCTCCTTACTCTGGCCATCCTAACCCTAATCTCCTTCACATATATTTCTTTCAGCTCCCTCCACTTCCCTCTTCAATACACTTCGAACGCTTCTCAGGTAGTTTTCCCTTACTTTCTCTCACTTTTCTCTCTGTTTTCTCGACAATTCTCACTGATCTAAATTTTCTTTCTTTGATATGTCATTAAGGTGGTTCCAGTGAACAATTTGGAGGAGTTGTCGGATATATATCACTTTCCGGAGATATTTAGGCTCAATTATGCAGAGATGGAGAAGAATTTCAAAGTGTATATATACCCCGACGGAGATCCGAATACGTATTACCAGACGCCGAGGAAGCTCACTGGGAAGTACGCGAGTGAGGGCTATTTCTTTCAGAACATTAGAGAGGGTCGGTTTCGTACGGACGATCCAGATCAGGCTCACCTATTCTTCATTCCGATCTCGTGCCATAAGATGAGAGGGAAGGTATGACATCCTTAATCCTTGGCAATGAGTGTTCTTATAAGAAATTAGAATGTAATATTCTCTTTCATGAGGTCTTTGCATGATGCAGATCAATATGGTGGATTATAAATCTCTGTGATGCATTTATTTTGTTATACTGTTGAAATGATTATGCATATAGATTATAGAGATGTAAAAATCCATGAATGTATGTGATTAAATTTTGATTGTTTGCTTCATGTGATGATGGTGTATTGTGGAATCATTGTTGGCTCCAGTTTTGGTGTTCAATTAATCAGCTGTTGCTTCTTTTTTCCGTCCCCTGATATGTTTATAACCTGATACAAATCAATTTAAAACTATTAATTGAATGTGTGTAATCTTAAAAGCTGAAAAAGGAAATAATCTATTTTGCAGTTTTAGTGCAATCAAAGTGCTGGCCACTTATTTGGATGGTCTAAAATATTAGGTTGCTCACATTAAAGGATGCTGCTTGGGTGAATTTTTGCATCTTAAAAATGGATAATGAAAATCACTTCATTTGTTGTAGTAGGAACCACCATTTGACTGTCATACGAGAGTTTTATGAGAAAAAGGTGGATGATTCTAGGGATCCAAACGGGAGATATAGTATGACTGTGAGTTCAACTCTATGAAATCAGAAGAAGGTTGAACTCTCCACCTTATGAGGTAATTAGTTAACTAGTCCCTTTTTTATAAGTAAGATTGTTGACCAAGTAACAGCACAATATTCTCTTATTTGTGTTCTCTCTAATTTGGGTCAGTTTGGAGCACATTTAGTTTGCTTGGAGGCCAGCCTGCCAGATCTAAAAATTTTCATATTTTCAATCTTGTTGATAATGACAAGAATTGCAGCTACAATTAGTTTACGATTGTGGGTTTAGGCTCGGCTTGCCAAAATGAGAGTGATGTTTAGTCTTGACTTTTGTTTAAGCAAGCTTGGGCTGGGCTTAGCTCGAGCTCGTTTGATACATTGATATATGTATTATCACTGTAAGGCTGAATCTTTGTTCATTATATATAAATAAATTATATAGTCGAGCAAAATTGAAAAATATGATTCATATAACTGATCCCTGGTAGTTGGGAAAAAAGATTTTATTGACTTGACTATATATAATCTATGTAGTCAAAACATAGAGAGAGTTGCACAAACCTGGGCTACACTCGAAATCCCACAATCAAATCCACCAAATCCTGTGCCTCCAGTTTTGTCCCATGCAGCATTCATATCAAGCACTTCCAGAATACCTATCAGATCTCCGAATTGTTGTCCGCTTTGAATCTCATGAGTCCATTGGCATCTATATTATCTCCAACCAAACTTGAACCCCTTCAATGCTCAGATTCCAAGCTGATGAGTGTCAATAAGATGGTAAATGGCTAGGATAGGATGATTGTTGAAAGAGAGAGAGGGGAGGTGTTGTAATGGATTATTGTCTTTTCTCGGGACCAAGGGTATATTTCATGTCCTAATATATTTGGTGATGTACACCTTTTCTGTTTCTACACTTGCCTGATATCCATATATGTGAAAACATGCCAACACGACATGTGCTGGTAAATTGTTGCTAAAATGTATTTCATAAGTTCTGATTGTTGAAACTTCTGTTACCATATCTAAGACTTGGTCCTTCCCATGTAGTTAAATGATAATTGTACAATGATACGCAGGGCACATCCTATGAAAACATGACTGTAATTGTCGAAAACTATGTGGAGAGTTTGATATCCAAGTATCCTTATTGGAATAGAACATTGGGTGCAGATCACTTTTTTGTCACTTGTCATGATGTTGGTGTAAGGGCAACTGAAGGACATCAACTTCTTGTGAAGAATTCAATTCGAGTTGTGTGCTCCCCAAGCTATGACGTTGGATTTATTCCACACAAAGATGTTGCTCTTCCTCAAGTATTGCAGCCATTTGCACTTCCAGCTGGAGGAAATGATGTAGAGAACAGGTAATGGAGAGGTTACTTATTGACATTTGTCATAGCTAATGAATGGTTGACACATAATCAATCTTTTTGAGTTTTTGTGTTCAGCTTTCCTGTTGTTGTTTTGTTTGTCTGTTACTCGTCATCTGGGTTTTTCCTTATTCTCAGTTTCAGTGACTTCTCATTTCTTTTTAATGTACTATTTTTCTTCCATCATGATTACGGCAAATCGACTAGAAATTCCTTACATTCTGTTTTCTATTATGTAACTGCAAATGAAAAATAAACCTGTTAACTTTGAACCATTAGGTGTTGGTGATGTGAATTTAGCATCATACTGCACTCTGTGAGCTGAAAAATAGAAAGCATATCTCACTTTACCTACCGATGTCCTTTTTATTCTTTAGCATGCTCGCTCTTCTATCATCGTGATGGAAACATTTTCATTAAATTTCTTTGCAATGGTCATGATGGGAAATTGTTGGAAGGCAATGAAGGAGGGAGAAATATTACCTCACTTGCCTCAAAAGGTGATGCTATGGTTTTTTTCCTGAAGCCAATGAAATGGCCTCAATATTGAAAATCCCACTAATTCCCCCATGGAGACAATTTTCCAACTCTTATTTTGAAAGGCTCCCTATTTCCCGGAATCATGATTCTAATTGGATGTTTTGTAGTTATTCATAGGATGTGAATTGGTTCAGCACAATCCCCCCACCCCCCCGGGGACACACACCCCCACCACCACACACCCTGCCTTATGAAGTACTCCCTCTCTCCCAAAACGGATGTCCTGTTTTGGGACAAAGGTAGTATAAATTTTGCTGAAAAGAATGAAGAATGTATTGCAAGGAGCCAAGCAGTATAATAAGGAAAGAATTACAAAAATGCTTATCCAGAGTGGCAGTCAAAATAGATTGTGAGCTCTCCTCTTTGGTAACTATTTTTGGAACAAAGTTCAGGATGTGCAGTTGGGACATATAATATGAAACATTAATTAGCTGATAGAATTTCCATAGTAACTTGCTTTGATTTTGTGATTGTTTTTTTCCCTGAAACTTGGTGATCTTCATATGTTACTCTTGATTGGTATGCCTTTTCAGCCTTACTAGCTTTTATGGACTATGTTCTTTTAATTTTTCTACTATCCTTTTGGATTTGTTCCAGCCATGTACAAAACATGTTCAGTTTCTAATGTTTTCAGGGATTGCTACTGAACAAGCATCAATTTTAGACTTATTACAACAGAGAGTCATTTTCATTCTTTATATTAGATTTGTTACGAGAGATAATCATTGATTTATTTTCTCGTTTTATATTATCAGTCCTTGAATGAATTTTCAAAGTTCCCTGTCCGGACTCCAGACATGAATAGGCTGGAAATTGTCTTTTATTTTATATTATCAGTCCTTGAATGATTTTTTATTATTATTATTTTTCAGTGTGTGTGTGTACGAGGAAATGAATGTTGGCTTTGTATAATTATGGTAAAAACTTCTTTAAGTTCATTGCTTAAAACCAACAAGTAAATTTTGCAGGACGACTCTGGGTTTTTGGGCCGGTCATAGGAACTCTAAAATTAGAGTTATACTGGCACGTGTATGGGAGAATGACACAGAACTTGATATTTCAAACAACAGAATAAACAGGGCTACTGGACATCTGGTATATCAAAAGAGATTTTACAGGACTAAGTTCTGCATATGTCCTGGTGGTTCCCAAGTAAATAGTGCTCGGATAACAGATTCAATCCATTACGGATGTATTCCTGGTAAGAGTTTCGTTCTTCTTGCCATACAAAATTAGATTTGAAATGGTTAACTTTCCATTTTATCTCTTATTCTTTGCCTATGTGGTACACTTGGGTTATGAAAATCATCCGGGCTCACTGCTAATGTAGAGACCAAATTGTATAAAAGACACGGGTACAGTATGATTCTAAAAATTTCAGCATTTTTGCCTTGGTCATGGAGATAATGAAAAGATTTCCTTCCTCAGGAGGGCAGTTACTATGTTTCTCTCCTCCTTTCTTAGCAAAATAAAAGTTTGATGTTTCACAGAACCCTAATGCAACTTGCCATACCATAAAATCCCACTAAATCACCTGAAGAATATAAGGTCTGGTAACATATTCAGTGACTTTTAGCATGCAATCATCTGCCCCAATAGCAGGGGTTACTTCCTGCAACCTGAATCTCCAATGAGAGATTTCTGTTGATCTGGTTACTACTATTGGCAACACTCAAGGAAATCAATTTGTGAATGCTCTTGTTACACTAGCTGATGGCAATGCACCCCATGATTGTTGATTAGCTTTCTGCATGATTTAAAGGGTGCCAATATTTAGGGAAACTCGTTGGTCAACTTCTTTTCCATATGCACGAAATACCCCTCTCATTTGACTTGGATGCCACATCCCTTGTAATTTTGCATGAACACTTGGGACTGCCTAAGTTCAGACAACCTGTTGTTGAGACATTTAGAAGAATTGGGATGTACTTGCTAAATTCCACCCCATGGGAAGTGGGGGTAACTAGAGTCAGAAACACGGCAGATAACCCAAGCATCCATGCAAAACTAGAAGGGGTATCTCAGTTCTTTTAATTATTAATGTTATTGTTTTTTGCTGACGAGGTATCTCGGCCTTTGGGCCAATTGGGGGGTTAACTAATGTAAGAAACGTGATGAGTATTTCAAGTATCTATGCAAAACATGAAGGAGTGTCTTTAACTCTTGGCAAATTTACAAAACTGTGACATAATTTCCTGTCACATTTTGAGGACTATATAATTCCCTGGGGTGTTACTTTCCCCCTATCTGCTTTCTGATTGCCTGTCTAATACGTTTTGGTTGCTTTCTTGCAGTAATACTGTCTAACTATTATGATCTGCCATTCAATGACATTCTTAATTGGGGAAAGTTCTCTGTCGTACTCAAAGAGAATGATGTGTACAGGCTAAAGCAAATTCTCAAGGACATACCTCATGCAGAATTCGTTGCTTTGCACAACAATCTAGTTAAGGTAGAAAATTTTGCCTCAGAAAATAAAAGTCAAATGAGTATTATACTTATTAGCAATTTACATAGTTGGATTTAAAACAAAGCTTCAATAATCATGCTTGCATAATTTACGGTCATCTAGAATGATGATTATATTTTTACTTTGGAATCATAGAGTGAGAGAAATAATGGCCATCTCACAAGTATGTGCCTTTTTTTTTCGTCCAACAGTACTTGCATTGCATTAAGATGTAGGTGAAACAAAGATCTGCAGTTACTGATGAGAATGTCTTCTTTTGGCATGTTTTTATCAGGTCCAGAAGCACTTCCAGTGGAATTCACCGCCCATCAAATATGATGCTTTCCATATGGTCATGTACGACCTCTGGTTGCGCCGCCATGTGATCAAGTACTAACTGCAAATGCATAGAAGTTCCTAGTTGTCTTTTTGGTATCCTGAATGGTTGCTTGCTAGCAATCTGAAAGTTTGTAAATTATCAGCACACAGTTTTTATATTATTCCCACTGCATGTCTAAATGGGAGATTTAATCTAGAGACTAGAGAGAGTCCTTCCATTTTTTGTTGTTCAAAGTTCCTGGATTGTTCTTTTTGTATCCATCACTGAACTTTGGCTTCTTGATTCATACACGACGAAAGAAAGTTTCTTGTAGTTAGTTGTTTCCCTTATTTGTACTTGGCAGTTCTTCCGTGACCAAAAACAGAACATCTCTACGAAATTTAGAGGTCTGGGTGACCAATTGGAGTGATAGTTTAAATGATAGAAAATCATCTAAATTCACAAATTCAATTGCAGTCCTGTAAAGGGCCTTCAAGTGCTAAAATACTATAAATCTCATTTCACTTCCCATGAACGTCGGGTGGTTGCACTTGCATCTTCTCAATGAGGGACTTGGAGTAGAGAATCCCACAAGTAGATATTAGATGTACCAGGTGTGCCATATTGTTAGTCTATACACCCAATGACAATGCTTTATTTTAAAAAAAGTTTGCACACCTACTTATAAAATAACGAGATGATTGACATGGCTCGCCTGGCACACCAATATCTACTCGAATCTCACAGCCCAACAGTCCCATCTCAGCCCCATTGCTTAACTGCCCAGAACCCCAACACTACATAGGTTACTAATTACTCTCTGTCTCTAAAGGAAAGAAAGTATAGGGCCCTGGTTGTGTCTAAATATGATATACTTCTTGTGTGTACCTTGTGATATTTAATGAATTTTCAGCACTTATGTGATAGTGTGCTTTGCCACGTTATGGTGCCAAATTTGGTGTTAGATGAAATGATATAGCAGTGGAAGTGGACCATCATTTTGCGTGGGATCTTCATCTGTCTTTGTCCCTGCCCCGCCCACGTGCAACACGCTTCACATATAACAATACAATTTAATATTTCACTGCACAAACACACGCATATAATCATAGTTTTGATCTGAACCATAATGCTTAACCTTACTTAAAATATTACATGTATGTGTTATATAGACATGACATATTAGTAGTATCTTCATTCATATCAACCTCATTTAAATATATAATTAATTTGCCTCTAGAGGCATAATAGTTTTGATAGGATTCGAGAAGTAAGTTTTTGAGGTCTCGTTTTTAAACCGTACACCTGACTTAAATGATGTGTGCGTTGTGAGATCAATACACGTACTCTAAAAAAAATTAAAATATTGTCAAAGTGTAGGCATGTGGTTAACTGAACCTATTGGACACAAGAAGGCCATTTTTTGTAAATGGCCTTCTTGTATATAAATTAAATGAAAGATTTAGAAGGACTTTATTTTGTAAAAAGGACTTTATTTTGTAAAAATGACCATCATCGTCCTATTTAAGTTTTTGTAAATGGCCTTCTTGTGTCCAATAGGTTCAGTACAAAAATGGCCTTCTTGCGTCCAATAGGTTTGTAAATGGCCTTCTTGTGTCCAATAGGTTTGTAAATGGCCTTCTTGTGTCCAATAGGTTCAGTACAAAAAATGGCCTTCTTGTGTCCAATAGGTTCAGTTAACCACATGCCTACGCTTGACAATATTTTAATATTTATGTAAATTAACATATGGAGTAAAAATATATTTTATACATTTATATAATATATGAGTCTAGTTTTCAAACAAATATTTTGAAACCAAAGGAGTAAAAAAAAAAAATTACTTTGTTGCATGATTTTGGTATTGATAGTGTGTTGATATATATATATATATATATATCGTTCACACGGGGTGACATGAAAAACTTTTCTCGATCATTCAACCGTTTCAAAGGACAGAAGAATCCAAAGGAAATCAAGACAAAATGTCAATCTAGGAAAAGAAAAAAAGATCCCACGATATCTCTTAAAGTGGGATTAGCAACCTTGGATCTACTGGTCTTCTTTTGCAATTAGTACATAATTAGGGAATAGAATTTAGGGTGTGTATCATATATATCAGAGATGAATAGTTTCAATAAACAATTAATATTTCCTCCAATTAGTAAATAATCTCTTTCTACACTATAAAGTACCCAGAAAATTTTCTCTAAAGGGTTTGAATTTTTTTTTTTTTTCCTTCAAAGGGTCTGTGATTGTGTCATTACCGACCATATGGTCCCAACCAAATTTATCTCCCTCATTCAGGCTTGCATCTCCTCACCCTCTTTCACCATTGCTCTAAATGGAGAATTTCAAGGGTTCTTTAAAGGGAAAAGAGGGTTGAGACAAGGTGACCCCCTCTCACCATTCTTTTATGTCATTGTAATGGATGCATTATCTTCTATCATCAATGACTATGTAAGAAGATCTCACACCTTCAAGTTTCACTGGAGATGTGGACCTTTGAAGATCACTCGCCTTTCATATGCAGATGACCTATTGCTTTTTAGCCATGGAGACATTACATTTGTAGCAGTGCTGAAATCTGCACTTGATCACTTTTGCTACATGTCTGGATTGGATATTAATCTCTTAAAGAACAGTATTTACTTCTCTGGTACTGATCCATACACATAGGCTGTAATCACATCCATGCTTGGAATTGGAATTGGTTCCCTCCCAGTCAAGTATCTAGGGGTTCCACTCATCACTACTAACCTGAAATCATCTCACTGCAGTCAACTAATTGAGAAGATTACAAATAGAATCTCTCATTGGTCCTCCAGATCTCTCTCTTATGCAGGAAGGCTCCAACTTGTTAAAGCAGTACTGGTCTCAACTCAAGTGTATTGGTCGAGTATCTTCATTCTCCCCAAAGCAGTCATCAATGAGATAAATAAAATCTTCAGATCATTTCTCTGGTTAGGGCCTGAGATGAAGACAAGTGGTGCTAAAGTGACTTGGAACAAAGTCTGCTTGCCAAAAGAGGAAGGAAGCCTTGGCATCCCTAACTTGGAGCTTTCTAGTAAAGTTGGCATCCTAAGATATATTTAGGACCTTCACTCCAATGACTCTGGATTGCTTGGTGTAGAGTTCATGTCACTCAACCTTCCACATCCCTGCTCCTGGAGTTGGAGGAAAATCTTACAGCTCAGACATCTTGCTAGACAAATTATCAAGCACAAAGTAGGCAATGGCTTAGAGACTTCATTCTGGTTTGACAACTGGTCCATAGGAAGTCCTCTTTGCACTCGATTCCCAAAAAGTATTCTCACAAATGCTAGGTTCCATGAATCAATCTCAGTGGCTACATTCATCCAAAACTCATCCTGGTCATTTCCCATAAGTCTCACTTCTGAAATCCTTGAGCTACTGCTTTTCCAGCCCCCTTGCTCTTCAAAAAGTGATTGTAAGCTCTGGTCAGCATCACCAAATGGCAAGTTCAGCTTCAAGCATACAACTTCACACCTTATAGAGCACTCTCCAAGAGTCCATTGGTATAACTTAGTCTGGATCTCCCCTACAATTCATCGTATGAAGTTCAATCTATAGATTGCAGCTCAGTTCAGGTTACCCACTCTTAATAACAGATCAATGTCCAATCACAATAACGTGTGTGTTTTATGTAATTCTCAGCTAGAATCCCACCAACACTTATTCCTCACATGCTGCGTTGTATCTCAAATCTGTCGGTTCATCAAACTCAAATGTCAATTCTTCACTGCAATTATAATTTGGGATGACCTGATCCATCTGCTCTCTGAACATTGGAGGAGAAACTCCCCAACAAACCTCCTCCGCAAATTATGTTTTTCATCAATGATGTACCACACCTGGGAAGAATGAAATGAACGAATTTTTAGAGGGAAATGTTCTTCTCAAAGAATGGTTCTCTCTAGAATTTCCTCCACCATCACTGCTATTCTCAAATTGGGGTTTCTTCGTGACTGCCCCTCCTCAAGACAGATTCTCGCCGACTGGAATCTCCCTCCAGACTGTTGTCGTCCTCCACCAAGGCCACCGGACTGAGTATTGTTATGGCGTCCTCCTGCGTCCTCCACAAGGGTTACAATCCGGATTGTCTTCTAATAATCTCTATTAACTGCTAAACTGGTCGTTAATGGTTATTATCAGCTTTGAAATTTGGTCCTGGCCTTCCTTAGTTGGGCCTCCATTGAGGCTTGTTACCATTTTGGGTTGTATTTGGCCAAATGGCTCACACTGTAATTACCTTTTATTATTTATATATATTTGCTTAAAATTCCCAAAAAAAAAAAAAAAAAAAAAAAATTGACATAGCCAGTGAAGTGGACCATCAGTTTGGCTGCAGAAGATCAGTCATATGTGCAGCTATTCTTCCACTTTGGACCCACTTACAACCCGCAATAATATTTGGAGTTCAAAAATTGAGTAACTCTGTTTAATTTATATGAGTAAAAATTAACGTCCCCATCATATTATTCTTGTTATTAAGCTATTGAAATCCCTATCATTCATTATTCATATTAATTTAATGGCAATTCCCATTTCATATATCATTAATTCCATGTAAGGAAAATTCAAAATGGACTTTATGTTGTAGAAAATAGTCGTATAAAGTTAATGAAAATGGCCTTTTGTGACCAATAATATGCTTGGGTTATTGAGTGCCAAACTGATATAAAGTAGTGTTATAAACTTAAATTCATTCATCCTATATAATAACAAAGCAAATTGCGAGATGGTGATGGTTCTGGTTTAAAAGAATTAAAATGAGTGTGTGTGAGTAACGTGTCTGTATTTCTTGTAAAAGAAAATAAAAATATAAAAAAAACAAATTCATATTCTTTTCCTATCTCTAAATACATACCAAAATTTTGGTCAGTATCGAAATTTTTATTATTAAATTTCCACGCGAGAAGTTTCATAATATACTATCATATATAAATAATTTTAAAGCGATGACATTTTAATACACACACGACATACACATGTTGTACTTGTAGACAAACAACAGTTGTAACGTTATAAACCTACCAACCATACATGGGAGAATAATTAGCAGGATGTTTATATCAAGGTGTATACAAATTAGTGTGTTAATATACACAGGTCAAAAACATGATAATATTTGTGGACTTAGCTGTGAGTAAGTCATTCATATTAAATCTTGACGTAATTGTAAAATCAAAAAATGATAAACAAAGGATAATAATTTTTTTTTTTTTTTACAGTAAGAATAAACTCACCGGTGAGTTGATAAATATTGTCCAGAAAAATATGGACAATTTGCCTACTCATAGGTGAGTACG